GGATCTCCCCCAGAGGAGGGATGCCCTGGCAGATGGTCCATCCCTTTAATAAGAGCCCCTCGCCATAAGTAATTCATTCACACTCCTGGTACCAAATTTCAGGCCTCCTCTCTAGAGCCTACTTTTCCTCTCGCTCTTATCTGTAGGTCATGGGCTGTGACCCATGGGTCCACTCTGTTCAGGTGAGCTGATCTATGCTTCCTCCCAGGTGTACACCTACCAATGGGATTGCTGGGTCATATGGTGACTCTGTGTTCAACATTTTGAGAAACGAACAACCTGTTCTCCACAGCATTCACACCAGTCTGCACATCCACCAGCAGTGTATGAAGGCTCCACATCCTTGCCAACACTTGTTATTGCTGCCTTTTTTATTACAGCCACCTAGTGGGTAGGAAGTTATATCTCATTTTGGTTTTGATTTGCATTTCTCTAATGACTAATGATGTTGAACATGCACTTATCAGCCATTTATATATCTCCCTTGGAATATCCTCTACTTTTGTCTAACACAGAAAAATAGGCTAGTAGAGGAAATTGTTTTCCAGTATAAAGGCAGGACCTTAGCTGCCAAGGGAAATATAGGACACATTTTGAAATGGGGCATTGCAGAGCCTCTAATTAAAGACAGAGGGCCAAGGGCTTCAGCTATGACATTAACTTGCCAAAGTCAGAATAGATAGACTCGGGTGTACACATAGCAACAATACATACAGCCTTCCATAGTTAAACAACTGCTCATATTTAGGGGTCATGGGAGGAATAGGATGATTTTGTACAGGTTGAGGTAGTTTTGAAGGGTCTACTCATTGAGGATACATTGTAGTAACAAACCAAGAGATTATTGCCTTCTCTCAGTTGCGTGAGAGTGACTTACGGCACTGTGACTTAGGGCACTGAACTTCAGCTTCTTCGTTGGGAGTTAAGAGAGTTGGCTATATTTACTAGTCCTAAATATTTTATGTATTTCTGAGAGCAAAGGAAGCATTAAGAGAGAGTGAAAAGGTTTTTTAAAAATTTTGTGTGGTTCCTATCGAAGGGCTTTTTCTCACGGTGATGATGACAGTGAGGACTTCTTCATAGGTAGACAGAGTATTCCTGGAATAAAGAGTAATACAAAGACTCAGAAATGTGTATAGAAACTTATTAAAAGGTGTGGAGGCAGTGTGGGGAAAGGTTCCCTGGGAGAACAGAGATGGAAGCCATACTTTGAGGGTAACATTTTTTAACTTCATAGCAATGGATGTTCAATTATTAAACAACACTTATGGAGCACTTACTATGTGCAGTTGATGAAGAGGAAATGATACAAATTCAGAAAAGAAGCAAAGGGAGACATTTCAAGGATACGGAAAAGGAGAAATATGCTCTGGGGCCATTTTCCCCCCAACTCCAAGAAGCAGCAGCTGGTGGTGGCTGTCATTATAAGGAAGCTTCAAGATAAATGATGACACCTGCCAAGGGACTTCACCAAGACACTCACAGGTCTTGGTAAACACAAGCTAATTAATTTTCACAACACCCTTGTGAGGTGGGAAGTAGCATTTTTCGTAGGTTCTACAGATGGGGAGGTGTCAGCACATAAACATAAATTATTTGGTCTCTTTATATACTGAAGTTGTGACAGGGCTGGGAATAAGAAGTCCTAGAAATTCAACTTCCAGACCTTCATTTTTCAACTTATATTCCAATTCATCCCCTTAGTGAAAGTGTCTCCTTTTCCTATAAAATAATATTGGATAGTATATTTTCCCCTGTTTTATGGGTACTTAATTACTAAGTGCAGTTATTCCCAAGAATATAAAATCACATTTGAGACAGGGCCCTAGAAGTCCTCTAAGTTAACCCCCTCGTTATTTATGTTAAATTGTTCAGGACACAGGACTGACTAGTACCAGAATACAGATTAGCGCCCCCTAAATATCTGTACTCTTAGTGGCCAACTCTGGTTTTAGTAATTCTACACATGGTCTCCCACTGTTTCCTTTTCTGTGGAATGCCACAGAGTTGTACAGACTGAACATGTCATGGTTGGAAGTCCCCATAAAAGCTATCAACCCCAACAATGCGTCTGGCTCTTAAATCTTCTCTACAATCTCTTTGGTAAGTGGCTGCCCAGACTGTGATTCAACACAACCAGCATTCAGAAAGCCACCACCTGCTAGGCAGCTCATGCCACCTCTCAACTGCTGGGAGTTCTTCTCCCCCTTTGACAGCCATCAGATCGCTGACCCCCGGTCCCTGCCCACCCGCCCTAAAGACCTCTCTTATTTGATTCTTCCTGCCAACTTTATTGCTGTCGACTTACTATTCTTTCAGTAAATGTTTATGAAGTCCCATCTATAGGTGTCACCAACAATAAAATGATAAACAAGGAGAATCATCCAGCAGAGGAAACTATACATAAATAAGCCCTCAATAAAAAGTGATAAAGGCTTTGATGGAGCATCATAAAACATTAAGGTTACTTGCCTACCCTTTATAAGCACTGGAGATACAAAACAATATTGCCTGAAGGAATAGAGATGTTTCCTGCCCTTCAGAAGTTTATAGTCTGAAAGAAAGAATAAGAATGTAAGTGTTGACTTGTTATTAGGATCCAAGTAACCATGTGCTATGGAGGTACGATATTCCACTGTGTTATTTATAAAATGATGTTGCATGCAAACAGGCATAATTATTAATAAATTTCATCATTAAGAACTAACTGAACAGGGGCGCCTGGGTGGCTCAGTTGGTTAAGCATCTGACTCTTGATTTTGACTCAGGTCATGATCTCAGGGTCATGAGATCGAGCCCTGGGTGGTCTCCATGCTCAGCAAGCAGAGTCTGCTTCTCCCTCTCCCTTCCCCTCTGTCCCTCCCCTTCCCCCCACCCTTCATCCTGCTCAGGCCTGCGTACTCTCTCTCTAAAATAAATAAATAAATCTTTAAAAAAAAAAAAAAGGAATTAACTGAACAGCACAGCCACTGACTTGCACAACCCCAGGGGAGCATCTTCTAACCGCTTACTGTGAGAATGGTGGCCCCTGGATACCAACTCCCTGCACCTTTTTTTTTTTTTAAGATTTTAATTATTTGAGAGAGAGTGTGTAGGCAAGCAGGGGTAGGAGCGGGGGGGGGGGGGGGGGGGGGGGAGGGGAGGGGGGGGAATTTCAAATGGACTCTGCACTGAGCACAGAGCCTGACATGGAACTGGATTTCATGACCCCAAGATCATGACCTGAACCAAAACCAAGAGTCAGATGCCCAGCTGACTGAGCCATCCAGGTGCCCCTTAACTGCCTGCACCTATTGAGCACCTACTAAGTGCTAGGCACTGTGCAGTGAGAGTATAATGTTGAAAAAAGGGGATTAACGCTGTTCTTTGTAACTTAGTCTTCTGAGGGGGAGGCAGACATTTAAGAAATGCATATGCAAATAAATATATAACTACAAACGTGATAAATACTATAAATGGAAAAGAACAGTTTGCTCTGGAATAAATGTGATTTTTAAAGGGCCCCAAAAGAAAATTTCTCTGAGGACTTAAGACTTCCTCCAAGACCTGAGGGACACATAAGGGATAACCAGGCAGAGAGATGAAGAAAACGTAGGCAGAAGATGGGAAAGAATGTTGTGAGCCCTGGGAACTGGGAGAAGGAGCGGTGCTCCAGACTGAGTAGCCAGGATGCAGGGCTGGAGGGTGGGGCCCAGGAAGAGTTTAGGGTTGAAGTTAAATGCCACAGGAAGTGATAGGAGGATGTTAGGTAGTCTGCTGGGAGCTGAGGAGCAAGAAGTATTATGGAAAAATCAGTGCATAGATGCTCAGTAAGCAAATATCAAACTGAACTATGCATTTTCAGAACGGAGATTTTTAGTTCTGGTCTGTTCTTTTCTAGTTTCTAAACTTAATGCATATGTTTTCAATTAGAAAACATATACCCCTTGCTGTTGTTTGGTCTTTGTCCTCCTCAAAACGAGTATCTCTCAGTCAAGTGATTAACTGTCTCCTAACGATATCAGTATATGAATCCATAAAACAGGGACGCCTGGCTGGCTCAGTCAGTGGAGCATGAGACTCTTGATCTTGGGGTCATGAGTTTGAGCCCCATGTTGGGTGTGGAGATAACTTAAAAAATAAAATCTTAAAGAAAGTGAATCCATAAAACAAAACTTGCTTTTTCTAATTATTTCCTCTGTGGGTTTCTAAATGTTCACCATCACTTGAGCCTTGAGAAGTGTTTGGATTTACTGCCATCTAGTGTCTCTGAAAACATAAGTTTGTGTTTCTGAACAAGACACTTCCTAAAACTGTGCAAATGAACAAATATATTTCTGCTTCTGGAATGGGAGAATCTCTGTTTTGATTTTATTTACATTGCATTTGAATTAATATAAAATAAGTCTGGTGGCCTTATTACCCTCTCTCTTTTCTCCATCCAATTATCTAGGGTTTCATTGATCCCTCTGATTTACACTCTTACTGTCTTCTTAAGACTTTCATTGTGAGAATTCCTCACGAATGCTGTCTGAGGTGGACCAGTATGCCCACTGTACAAAAGTGTCTAGTCTTCAGAAGCACTAAGGAGTTGGAATCGAGCTTTCCAAGTCAAATGCAGAGGGGTTGGGCGGCTCAAAGACAGGCATCTTTCCCTAATTTGCAAATATAACTTAACAACAGCCGTGGTGTCACTCCACAGTGGTGCCCACAGGAAATTCAGGGCTCGCCGTTCCCCTGAGGCTACTGGTGAGGATTAGTGTGAGTTTCTGTTTTAGTCTGTTTTTACAAGGCTGGGAAAGATAATCAGCCCAAAATATATTCTCAAGCTATTGCAGTTCAGTTTGGCCTGGTGTTGTTAGTCAAAGTTTTGCATAGGTAATTAAAATAATGAACGCTTTTCTGAGAAGACAAGTTAGGGATGTAACCACATTTTTGTTATAGCCATCCATGCACTTGTTCAAATATACACATTTCCTTTCCCACCACAATCTTCATTATAATTCTCTTGTTCTTCAAAGGTCCCAAGCCACTCGTTTCCGTTGGCATCAACCAGCTCCTTTTGACAAGCAGCAGACATGGGCCATAGACAATGTCTATATCGGGGACGGCTGTATAGATATGTGCGGTGGCCACGGAAGGTGCATCCAAGGAAGCTGTGTGTAAGTACATTATGTTTTCTTCCTTCCATTGGCAGTTCCTGACTCTCATTCCAGCCAGGAGATTTTTCTGAAACTGGGTTTGTAATCACTTCAAAGCTGCCATCGGTCGTATGGTTTTCTTGAAATCTGTTACTGAGCTAACTGTAGAGCTTATGGATATTGTATCTTCCTTCTTGCTTAGAGATTAAGAACTGAACAATAGCTATCTTGTCAAGAGAAAAGTGAATTATCGTCAACTGTATTTTATTTCCTTCTGTGTTCCTGTGGCACACGTGAGCCCAGAAAAGGACATAGAAGAGGTTTGGGAGTTCAGCATATTCTGACCTGAAATAATATGTCATAAGTATTTTTCTCACTTAGGCCTGAATATATGTAATAGATACTCATTACTTGTGGTTGAATTGGTATTCCTGTGTGGTTTGCATAAGAAAGTTTTTAAATGCCTGCTCAATTTGCCCTCAATGGAGAGGGCTAGTATTTTACTTAGTGAGCGTTAGCATCTTTGGAAGGATCTAAATAAAGTGTGTGTGTGTGTGTGTGTGTGTGTGTGTGTGTGCATGCGCATGCGTGCATGCCTGCACGTATCTTGTGTACTACAGGTCTTTGTGCTTTATTTTCAAATATTTTGCTATTTGGTAGGATAGTATGAATGAGGGTGCTGATAGAGAATTCATACTGCCTTCTCCGCTAATCTCCGCACACCTGGGAGGCCTTTCCTGTGGTTAATGATTCTAGCCCATATCCAGAATGACCTCTGAGACCCCAGAGTCTCCAGTCCTACATTCATATTTCCTCCCGCATTGAACACGGAGGTTGGTCCTTCAGTCAGAGATCGCAGATGCTACCCAAAGAACCCACTGCTGTTTGGAACATGGAATCTTGGATTCCTAACTGACCCAAAGCCTCTTTAAAAAGACCAATTTCCTGAGTTATTAGGACCTACCAGTTCAGTTTGGCAGCCACAATTTCTTATCAGCTTTCTAGAGCTATGTCACGTAGAGACAGGGCTCTAGTAAATTCTTTGAAGTTGCTTCTTTCCCTGTAAGACCAAGTCACTACTTTAGGAATGCCTAGAGGCAGCTAATTCACAGATTATTTCTAACCTAAAGCACACTTAAGAAAAGCAGATGAATGGGGCGCCTGGGTGGCTCAGTCGTTAAGCGTCTGCCTTCAGCTCAGGTCATGATCCCAGGGTCCTGGGATTGAGCCCCGCATCGGGCTCCCTGCTCCGTGGGGAGCCTGCTGTTCCCTCTCTTGCTGTGTCTCTCTCTGTCAAATAAATAAATAAAATCTTTGAAAAAAAAAAGAAAAAGAAAAGCAGATGAATTCTGGAAAGCTCTGTGAAGCTAAGTAAGCTTTCATCATCCTGGACTAGGAATAGCAGCTGTCTTCACTAACCTGAGAACACAATTGTGGAGGTTTTTTGCATGTTGACTTTTCCTTTCTTTTCTCCGTACCCAGCTGTGACGAGCAGTGGGGTGGCCTATACTGTGAAGAGCCCGAGATCTCCCTTCCAACCCAACTCAAAGACAACTTCAATAGAGCTCCATCCAACCAGAACTGGTTGACTGTGAACGGAGGGAAACTAAGTACCGTGTGTGGCGCTGTGGCTTCGGGAATGGCTCTCCACTTCAGCGGGGTGAGTATTTGGCTACTGGTTATTCATATCTGCATCCTCTGAGGTTCCCCCAAAAGAGTTGAGTCTCTCTTATTGGCAAATCAAGATACAGAATTAGACACTCTAAATGCACAACCCTGATGCGAACTTGCAACTTTATACAAATCAGAAAATACTAATTATTTCCAACATTTTCCCCATCACAAATCAGTCGAGACCATTTAATTATGCAAGGTAGTGTCAGCACAAGGCATATGTACGTACACATTAAAAAAGGACTTAAGTGAATTTTCATCCTGGGAGAGAGGGCTTGTACAGTGTGCAGGGGTCTTCCATCTGGATGATGCTCTAATTGAAAACTCTTGAGCTTGCAACAGATTTGGGATTTAAGGAGCCAAAAATCAGGAAAATGAGCTTCAGTGTTCCCTGAATTTATTAACAACACTTACTTCTTTCTCTAAATTATCAAAGAAAGAATAATTATCAGTAATAACTAGACATTTTTATTTATAGCAAATTATTTTGTGAATGACAACAGCAATGTTAGAAAATTTCTTTGATGGGGCACCTGGGTGGATCAGTCAGATAAGCATCTGCCTTCAGCTCAAGTCATGATCTCAGGGTCTTGGGATTGAGCCCAGCATTAGGCTCTCTGCTCAGCAGGCAGTCTGCTTCTCCCTCTCCGTCTGCTTCTCTCTCTCTCTGCTTCTCTCTCTCTCTCTTTCTCAGAAATAATAAAATCTTAAAAAAAAAAATTTCTTTGAGAAATTTTATGGTCCTTCTAATTGCTACTAAAGATGTGTTTAAACTCCTTCAATACCGTAATTAAGTACGCTTCATAAGCAATTTAATTTTTAAAAATTACAAATTCATTGTCAGGTCTTTATTTCCCTACCATTCCCTATCTTAGAATTTGCATTTGTGCCAATAAAGTGTGTTATTTATATTCAGTGTTTTAGCTGATAGTAACAATATAGGATTCCTATAATTCTCAACGCTAAGAATGCATGTTTACAATACCCTTTGTAGCTTAGCTAGAACTCCAAGAGGCCTAGTTTTCTGCCTATGTTCAACTAAGAATTATCTGCCTATCTACACTAATAAATTAATATAGATGACACTAAAATCAGCTATGAGCATTTAAATAAAAATCATTACAACTATTATCTCTAATAATTAAATTGTATGAAATCCTTAGATGTAGTCATTTTTAAATTTCATATTAAAATAGTTATCTCAACATGCTATTTTATTAATAGCTATTACCTTTTAAAAAATCTAAAAATACCTGTGAATAACTGGAAATAGTTTAATAAAACAGAACAGTTACTTTAATTTCAGCTCTCATATTGCTCATAAGAAAACAAAAGAGAATCCCCTTAGAATACATCGTCCTTTGTTAAGTTCTAACAATGAAATTTCAAAGTTTAGCAAATATTTGGTGAGTACCTACTATGTGCTAGAAGCCATGCTGGGAGCTAGGGTAACGGGAAAGATGATACAAACACCAGTATTACAATACCGTGGGACTTGTATTACAAAAGAAATATAAAAAGACAGAAGCCAGAGAAAACCTTTAACCTGCAATTACAATTCTTTATCACTGTTTTGCTGGATTCTGCTTTTCTCCCTTAGGGTTGCAGTCGACTGCTAGTCACCGTGGATCTGAACCTCACTAATGCCGAGTTTATCCAATTTTACTTCATGTACGGATGCCTGATTACACCGAACAACCGTAACCAAGGTGTTCTCCTGGAATATTCTGTCAATGGAGGCATTACCTGGAACCTGCTAATGGAAATTTTCTATGATCAATACAGTAAACCTGGGTTTGTATTCTATTTTATCTTCAATAATGAGTACGTTGAGCAAAGATGCTTGATGAGGTCTGTCAGCTTTAGTCACGGGGACTGCAGGGGACCTGGAACCATCCCCCCTGGTAGAGATTCTTCTGACACTGACATAAAGATAAGATTTCTGAGCTGGATAAGCAAACTGGTTTGGGTTTTTATTTTAAGAACAACTACTTTTTAAATTCCAGAATAAGATAAAATATGTTATCACAATGCCAGTCATGAATAGACCCAGTGCAAAAACCCATGTGAATTAATGAATATATGGTAATTAATTTCAACGACATTTTGGGAAAATAGAAACAGGAAGACAATATATTTATTTATTCAGTCATTCATTTATTTATATAAGGTTTATATAGTGTTCCCTCCATTTTAGAGAATTGAGGACTTGGAAATACCTAGAGTCTATTTTTTAATTACTTATTTGAAAAACCCCTAGGGGCGCCTGGGTGGCTCAGTCGTTAAGTATCTGTCTTCGGCTCAGGTCATGATCCCAGGGTCCTGGGATCGAGCCCCGCATCAGGTTCCCTGCTCCGCGGGAAGCCTGCTTCTCCCTCTCCCACTCCCACTGCTTGTTCCCTCTCTCGCTGTGTCTCTATCAAATAAATAAATAAATAAAATCATTTTAAAATTTAAAAAAAAACCCTCACAATGGGTTTATTAAACACAATGTTTAAGTCATTTAGAATATATATTCTCGGGGCAGGCACCTGGGTGGCTCAGTCGGTTAAGTGGCTGCCTTTGGCTCAGGTCATGATCCTGGGGTCTTGGGATCGAGCTCCATGTCCAGCTCCCTGCTCAGAGGAGAGCCTGCTTCTCCCTCTCCATCTGCCTGTCACTCTACCTACTTGTGCTCTCTCCCTCTCTCTCTCTCTCTGTCAAATAAATAAATTTTAAAAAATCTTTAAAAAAAACTCTTTAAAATATATATATTCTCTGCCACTGACCTATACACTTAAAATGGGAAGTTTAGCATAACATATAGACTTGTCAAATCAGTATCTTACAAACACACCTGGAAAAAAATTTAAGTGTTATATATATTTTACTACAATTTAAAAATATTTAAAGAAAATTTTTAGAAGTGAATAAATGGGGGCGCCTAGGTGGCTCAGTCCATTAAGTGTCTACCTTTGGCTCAGGTCGTGATTGAATCCTGAATGGGACTCCCTGCTCAGCAAGAAGTCTGCTTCTCCCTCTCCCTCTGCCCTTCCCCCTGCTCCCCTGCGCGCTCTCTCTCTCTCTCTGTATCTCTCTATCTCAAATAAAGAAATAAAATCTTTAATAAATAAATAAATAAATAAGATACATATATTCTCAAAGGGCAAAAAGCAATCAATGTGACCAATGAGAAAAGTTAAAAAAGATCTAAAAAAGTAAAAGAGCATATTTATTAAAGTGGAAGGAGGAGAAGAGAGAAGAGGGTAAGAGAGAGAAAGAAGTTTGGAGGAGAGGAGAGAGCAGAGGGGAGGGGAGGGGAGGGGAAAGGAGAAATGAATACAGCCTAGCCAAGAAACAGAATAATTAAAAGCACCCAAAAAGGAAGACAAAACACAGATCATCCCTCCATACATGGCAAACCAGGTACAGGCTAAAAATCAGGTAAAAGAAAAACAAAGAAAGAATCTTGTAAATTGTCATTTAAATTCAAGATATCTGTTAAGAAGAGGTTCAGTTGTGAATGACAGAAAACCCCAAGTAACTTAAACAAAAGATTTTTTTCTCTCAATATAAATTAGATCCAGAAGAAAGTAGCCCAGGGCTGCTACAGCAGCTCCACAAGCACCAGAGACCCAGCTCCCTTCTACCTAATACTTTTGCCACATCCAACACATGACCTCTATCTCGTGGTCCAAAAGGGCAACTCTAGCTCCTCCACATTCCCACTGGCAGAAGGGAGGATGGGCAAGAGGGGCATGCTGTCTCTCTTTAAGGACACTTCCTAATGGTTGCCCCTATTTCCATTCACATTCCAGTAACCAGAACTTAGCCACAGAAACACACCCAGATGCAGGGGAGTCTGGACATACCGTCTTTATTCTGGGTGACTGTTCACCTCGCTAAAAAGATGGGCTCCTATTATGAAGGAAGAAGGGGGAAATGGCAGTTGAGAAAATGCCAGCCGCAAGCAAACATTTTAAATCCTGCACTTGCATTAAAGTTGGACACCAGTAAAGGAATCCAAAGAAGCTAAGAAGAACACAGCGTTAATAGTGCAAAAACCGTGCTCATCTATTAGTAGAAGATAATAGATAAGCCAAGTAAACCATTTCCTTAGTCTTTATGGAGAAAGTTATAAAGACTCTCAGGTTTGAGTTCCTGAACATTTAGCATAGTATACAGAGAAAAGGAAGTTGAGTTAGGATATAAGCATAACTGTCTGATCTGCTTTAGTTCTCTCAGGGAGAAACAAATTGACCAAAGTAGGAACAGTGGTCATAATTTATTTAAACTTTCAACAGCCTTAGTTAGATAAATTTCCACTCCAAAGGTTTATAAAATGTGGTCAAGGATTTATCAGAGAAAGGAAACTAATTTAGAAATAAGAAAGAAAAGAAAAGATAAAGATCATTGCTTTGGGTAAAGAAGTCTATTGTATGCCCTTCCAGGAGCAGATAGATTTCTGATATTATTTGATATACTTTAAAATGTTAAACATGCCAAATCAATGCTGATAATCGTACAAGGTGAGCATTACAAAAAGGGAGCAAGGAGAGGAGCAGATGAACTTCAAAACTGAAATGCATGGGGAAATAAACTTTGGAACAGATTATTTGCCTAAGCATTGATGGTCTCCAGAGTACCATTCACAGTCTACACTTTCCTTGTGTACCCTTTGGTACACAAAATGCATCTTGGTCTTAGGCTACACAAAATATGGACATAGTCCATAAAGTATTTAAAATTCAAGTACTGAAAAATCTAACCAAAAGCATCCTCAATTTGAATGGATCTTGATTGGTCCCCATCTGGAATATGGCCTACTATTCTGGAATCTACCTCAAGAACGACATAAAAGAGAAAAGAGGAAGGAAAAATAAAATCAACAAGGAGATACTATGTAAATAAAGCTGAAATAACGAACCCTCTTCAATGTGAAAGACAAAAACTGAAGGAGCCACCATCAATGTCCTCAATGTAAGGATTCTTCACAGGATGTATTTGGGCTTACTGGCCCTGTCTTGGCACACTAACTCTAAGAGGCAGGCTTTAAAAGTAAAGGAAGGTAGATTAGCATGGATAAAAAGATGGGAATTTAGGCAAAGGAGATTAAACCACAGGAAATTATTTTCCCCAGCCGACTTCATGGTTGTGAATACAAGTTCAAAAGGGTCTGATACATTCTTGGGCTTTAAATGCATAATTGCAATCAAGGGGTATTTTAGACCTCATGTCTAACTTGTTATGATTCATATTGGAGCATGGAGTCAGGTTTGTCCATGTCTATTCTTAGTGACTGGGTTGGGGACAGCATGCTGGGCTTCTTAGCCCATGGTTCTTACTCAGCATTTCTTAGTATACTGTTTTCAATAAAACATAAAGACAAAGTCAGTGTCAAACTACGAGCAACTGATAAAGTAATCACAAAAAACCTGGTACCCTCAGGCTGAGAGCCCAAATGTCCTGCCACAATCCAGTGTCTAAATTCTAAGCAAATTGCTGATACTCATGGAAGTAGAATGAAATCGAGGTGCCAAGGGAAGGAAGAGATGAAACCAACCCGTAGGAGACAGAAAAAAAAAATTTAGTCTTGGCTTATGTCCACCAAAGTGCATATCCCTGGGCCTACAAATCCAGAGATGCCCCTGGGCAAGCAGAAAATTGCAAAGTCCCTTTAAGGTCTGCCAGGGACAGTTAGGATAAATAGGTAGTTCCACAATTCTTGAATTTGTTCACATTCTGTTTCCCAATTTAGGGACTCCTGAACCTTCATAAACCCAAACCAGTTTGTCGTGGTTTTTAAAAGTTAAAATTTTTAACTTTTAAAAGTTAAAATTAATCAATTTTTTAAATAAATTTAAAATTTTTTAAATGTTGGGCGCCTGGGTGGCTCAGTTGGTTCAGCGACTGCCTTTGGCTCAGGTCATGATCCTGGAGTCCCGGGATCGAGTCCCGCATCGGGCTCCCTGCTCAGCAGGGAGTCTGCTTCTCCCTGTAACCATCTTCCCTCTCGTGCTCTCATCTCTCATGCTCTCTCTCTCAAATAAATAAATAAAATCTTTAAAAAAAATAAAATAAATTAAATTAAAAAAAATAAAAATTTTTAAATGTTATCTCATGTCCTCCCCCCACCCACCACGTGACTTGTAACATCTTATCTCTTGTTGTAAATCTTTTACTCACATGACACATTTGACACGATTTCCTCCCCTACACGCCCCCATCATTTTCTCACAGATTTGTGAATATCCTTCTCCCTCCTGATGCTAAAGAGATTGCTACTCGCTTCCGCTGGTGGCAGCCAAGACATGATGGCCTGGATCAGAATGATTGGGCCATCGACAATGTCCTCATCTCGGGCTCTGCTGACCAGAGGACCGTCATGCTGGACACTTTCAGCAGTGCCCCTGTGCCCCAGCACGAGCGTTCCCCTGCAGACGCCGGCCCTGTTGGGAGAATTGCCTTCGACATGTTTATGGAGGATAAAACTGCAGGTACATTTTTCCCTAATGCTAAATAAAAATCCAGCAGAAATGTAGTGTAGATTTAGGTCTTCTCAAAGAAGTAGAATGTGGAGCCTCTTACAGATTCTCAAATGGTATAGAGACCATGAAAATGCTTTCACCCTTTTGTTTCTCTCAAACTTCCTGATTTATGTTTTGACTACATCTTTTCTTTCATTCAAGCAGCAAGAATGTTGTAATAAATAGCATTTTGTAATGAGACCATTTTTTTTAGAAACTCTTCATTTCTGTGTTTCCTATATTTTCTCCTTTGGGTAGAAAGCCAACATTTCCTGGACGTTTGTTTGCATATCCAAAGACAAGTGTCTTGTTTTGCTACACGTCAGATGCCTTTGGGATGGCATTTCATGTTTTCGAGAGTGTCTAAAGGTCTTGCTGGTTACTCTTCATTTTCTCTAGAAGTAGAGCAGTGATTCTGGTGAACCAGAAAAGATCTCTGCATTCTGTGCTCATTTGTAATGTCTTGTTTTTGTTTCATTTCAATGAAACTATTCTTGTCTCCTTTTTTAAAGTGGTGTCTTATGTCAAGTTTGTGGCTTTATCATGCCACATCCTTGGTTATACTACATAAAACATGGTATCCTTAGGCAAAGTAGTGATGTTTAATTATACAGCTCCTACCAACACTGCAAGTGTTATCTGAAAGAGTTATCTGAAAATCGTTCTCTGATGAAGGTTATTAAGGAGATTGACTCACACAGATCTGGTTCAGATCTTGGCTAAATTATTAATTTATTTTTTCCCCGTGTAACAATTTACATAAGTGAGTTTCGGGTCAGAGAATAATTGAAGCACTGCTGCTATATGAATAAAAGCAAATATAGATTAGGGGTTGTTAAGCATCTGCCTTCGGCTCAGGTCATGATCCCAGGGTCATGGGATCGAGCCCCACATCGGGCTCCCTGCTCCGCGGGAAGGCTGCTTCTCCCTCTCCTACTCCCGCTGCTTGTGTTCCTGCTCTCACTATCTCTGTCTCTTTCGAATAAATAAATAAAATCTTTAAAAAAAATAAAAAGTAAATACAGATTATTTTTTCAAGTACCTAAAATACCCGTTTTTACTTTAGGCTTGATTGGTGATATACAATTGAAGAATTGTAACACTGGTTTTCTAGACACTGTAATATCTACTTACAGAAGTAGTTTCTGATATTTCAGAAGAGATTGATGAGGTAGTTGATTAAGGTAAACCTGCTTTCATCAGGATTCAGAGTTCTAGCATAAAATAAAATATGTGCCCCAGAATAAACTGGTATGGGGTATTCTTAATGGAATTCAAGTTCCTGTGCACTTTGACTTTTGAGTACTAGATGCAGGATTAAATGTAGCTCCAAATCCCATGAATTAGGATGGGATTTGGAATGAGAATTAACACGTAATGGCAATGGGATTGTTAGCCATTTGAACCCAGACATAAACTGCTTGTTCTGTGACATAGGTTAATGCTCAGACGAACTCCAAAGGACACAACATAGGTGAAGGCTGAGTTTCAGTTACATTGTTTGGTCTCTCCTCTGACCCCTCTGACACCATATAGCTCTGTGACTTGCACAGTGGCCCCAAGCCTCCCATCATACCCATTCATCTCCATCGTAAATGCTAGAGCTAACCAGGAAACTTTCAGAGACAGAGACCTATAAAACCAGAGTATATTGTGAATTTGATGCAACTTATGGATGTGTTCCATTCCTAAACCTTCTGGAATAAAATCATAATGTTAAAAATACCTGTTTCAGAAAAGAAAGGACATTGTGGGCGACGTGTGTGTGTGTGTGTGTGTGTGTGTGTGTGTGTAGATGCATATGTATGTGATTGAGAAACAGGAGGAGAGATGATAGGACGTACTCTGTGCTAATCAGGTCATAGTCTTGCTGCCTGTGTTTTCCTTCGACTCTTACAAGCCTGTTTTTAGTCACTTAGTTGAGTTATAATTGACATACAAATAGCTGTTGATTTTAATGTATACAACTTGATGAGTTTGGAGATAAGTATACACCCATGAAACCATCACCACAATCAAGGTCATAAATTGATTAATCACCTCCTAAGGTTTCCTCACACAGGCCCCCCCTCCACATTTTTTTAAGCTTCTTAGCAAATTTTTAAGTATACAATACAGTATTGGTAACTATAGGCCCTCTGTCGTACAGTACATTTCCGGAACTTATTGCCCTGTATTCCTAAAACTTCATACATACCCTTTGACTGACATTTCTCCCTCTCCCCAGCCCCAGGTAACTGCTATTCTACTCTCTGGATCTAGGAGTTTGACTATTATAATTTGTTTAATTACCCAGATGACACTACCAGAATTTCAGTACAAATAGCTAACTCACTTCCCTATCATATTACTAAAAACTCTTTGTCCTTTAAGTCCTCCCTAAAAGTTAAATGTCTATAAGAAAAGAATTGGTATAGGGGCGCCTGGGGGGCTCAGTCGTTAAGCGTCTGCCTTCAGCTCAGGTCATGATCCTCAGGTCCTGGGATCAAGCCCCACATCGGGCTCCCTGCTCAGCGGGAAGCCTGCTTCTCCCTCTCCCACTCCCCCTGCTTGTGTTCCCTCTCTCGCTGTGTCTCTCTCTGTCAAATAAAGAAATAAAATATTTTTTTAAAAAAAGAAAAGAATTGGTATAGGGGCACCTGGCTGGCTCAGTCAGAAGAGCACGTGACTCTTGATCTTGGGGTCATAAGCTCGAGCCCCACACTGGGTGTAGAGATTACTAAAAAAAAAAAATAACTTAAAAAAAAAAGAATTGATATACAAGTCCCTTTGCTTTTCATTTATAACACATACAATACACTTTTTTTCTAAATGTAGACTTACCAATATTGGATAGGAGGTATATCTCAACCTCCTAGTATCCATGTTCCTAAAATGATATGCTTACGTTAGTGTTTTGCCTGTGGATTGTATGTAATGTAAGAGAGATTTCTACTGAAAATAGTACGAGATCTTGCTTAAAGTGAAAATTTGCTTCAAGTAATTTTGCTATAAATTTGTCGTAAAATTTTTGTTCATTTAAGTGAATGAGCATTGGCTATTCCATGATGATTGCACGGTAGAAAGATTCTGTGACTCCCCTGATGGCGTCATGATTTGCGGTAGCCATGATGGAAGAGAAGTGTACGCCGTGACCCATGACCTGACTCCCACGGAAGGCTGGATCATGCAGTTCAAGGTGAAATTGTTATGGTTACATAAGTAACCATCCACTAGCAATATAAAAATGAAAAAAGAATTTGTAGAGACAAAGATCATACAACCTTTCATTGACTTAAACTATATTTTGAAAAATGTAATGTTTTGGTAATGTTCATCTCAACTATATATAACTTAATGATTAAAAGTGATTAAGATGATTTTACTTCTGAACTATGCCAAGGTAAAACTTTCATAAATGTGTTTCTACTCAAGATTAAATACTGATAGATCAAAATAGTGACAATAAAAATGTAGGATACTGATTTCAGTTCCCAGAGTCTAAATCATTATATGACTTAGCCAGTTTCTTCCTGTAAGAGAAGCTTAAAGCTATTATGGTTATAACTACTTTTTTTTTTATAAGAGCATTTTAATGTTTCTAGAGAAAGAAAATTCTAGAAAACAAAGACATGATTAGCATTAATGCCAGCATCAGTTTTGGCCAAGATTTTATGTCAACCAATTTATTTTATGTCAACCAGTTTATTGTCTACCTCACTCCCAGTGTATTAACAACAAATGTTGCAGGATACCTATCTGCGTCAACAGGGTATTGTGCCTTATTAAAAGTACCTTCTGTTATCACTTCATTGCATCTTACTTGTAGTTGAAAGTGATTTATGGAGAGTCATAAATTGTACAACAAAATAGTAAACTTGGAAAAGCTGTTAGCAATCCTTCTTGGTCGAGCATTCTGCCAAATAAAAATGCCAGACCATTAGCACAACAAACAACAATTTGTAAGAGTGGGCCCAGGCCTTCCAAGGCAATCAGCCAGCCATGGCAGAAGCACAGCTTTCAGCTTCTCTCCAAAGTCCCTGCACAATATATTTGGCACTTTCTATAATTTGTCACCTTGGGCAACCACATCAACTCTCCCATCCATCAGCAGAACAGATAATGAACCTGAAAATACAGGATGGATGTGGTGCAGCGTCTATCAAGTGATCGGCAACTTTCTTGTTGCCAAGTCCTTGGAGCAGAAACATATAATATGGTTTTAATCCTTTAACAATCTTTCTTTTCTGTGTACTAGATCTCTGTTGGATGTAAAGTATCTGAAAAAGTTGCCCAGAATCAAATTCATGTGCAGTATTCTGCCGACTTTGGTGTGAGCTGGAATTATCTGGTCCCTCAGTGCTTACCTGCAGACCCCAAATGCTCTGGAAGTGTTTCTCAGCCATCTGTATTCTTTCCAACCAAAGGGTGGAAAAGGATCACCTACCCACTCCCTGAAAGCTTAGTGGGGAAGTAAGTAAAAAATTAAAGCCTGGGTTCCAAGCATCCAGAAGTTCTTTAGGGACACCTGTTGAGCCTGAAATTCTGTGTAATTGTGGGTAGAATGCTCTCTTACCCCTCAGTCTAAAGTTTCTCTAATTGGTGACCTCCATGATGAGCTACCTTGTGGAAACCTCAAGTTTTAATCCTCAGACTTGGGTCTTGGCAGGGCCTTCCATTTCCCAGGTTTTAATCTCTGAACATGGGGACAGACCAATAGTGATAGTCTTAGAGCCACATGAAAAGGTGTATGCTTCCTCATGGATCTGGTAGACTGTGGTCCACCATGCATCGCATGCTTTCCATATTACTGCCTATCACTCCATAGATGGACCCAGGAGCAGACCCCAACCAGTCATGCTATTTGTACAAATCCTAATTCTTCGTGCTGTCTGTGCAAATGTGCTTTGTAGATTTCATTTCTTCTCTGACCAAAGCATTATGTTCTGCACCTGCAGTGAAAAGTCATTAGCTGGGAGCCGTGGTGAGCCAAGATGATTAAACTGTTCCCTGAGAAGTCTGTGGATGAGTTAATTTAAAGCAATTCCAAAAGATTTGCCTTTAACTGTAAAATCAGGAAAAAAGATACACTGGCTAAATGCAAAACCTTCTTATGAAACAAAATTATGATATACGACCAGAACATATAGAGCCTTTAAATAAGGCACTTGCACTGGGCTTTTCCAGTGTGCCATAAATATCATTTACTACATGATCACTCACTGTTTTCTGGAACAAATCTAAAGGGCTTTATCAATTAACGTGCTAGGAAATTAGATCAGGATACTTTCCGCTGCAGGTAACAGAAAACCCAATTCAAATGGACTCAATTAAAAATGAAATGTATTATAGCTATAATGAAAAACTCCAGAGACAAGTGGACTCGAGCATGGGTTGATTCACAAGCTCAAAAATGTCCTCAAGGACATTGTTACTTCTTTCTCTTTGACCCTGACTCATGCCACACTCTCCACACATTGGTGTCATGCTCAGCCCTCATGAACATAGACACTTGCTTAAAACTGAAGCAGAATGCATCCTTACCTATGTCCAGTGGGAAAGAAAGAGAGTTGCTTTTCTTTCAGAGCAACTATCTCCTCGCATCCCATTGGTACAAATTAGCTCAAGAAAGCCCATCCCTGACTCAGTCAGTGGCTAGGGGAGTTATATTATCCATATGACTCACGGGGGGTGAAATGGATGCTGGGGAACCACCACGGCGTCATTGCTTCATTTTACCCCTCCCAATTCTCTCTCTTTTTTTTATAATGAGGTATAACTTACATTCAGGAAGATGCACACATCTTAATCGTGCAACCCATGTAACCACCCCATAAACCAAGATACAGAACATTTACATCACCCCAGAAAGTTTCCTCATGTACTTTGAACTCTTTACACCAAAACTGTACAGGATGTTTTGATATAGGGTTAATTATGAGGCTTATATTTTCCCCAGAAGACACAGCAATGATGAAATCAAAATCTCAGGGCAATTGCCCTTTAAAAAACCCTTTCAAAATTGTTTTCTAATTAGCAGACTTGTTCTGAGAATATTGATTATCTTTGGGGATTCAGAAGTTGCTGCTTCCCGATCACCTGAGGGCTGTGTGCATGCTGACAAGTCTCTGTCAGAGGATGTACTCACCTTCTGTACAGTTTCAGAAATGGCAGTTAATGGGTCTAAATGGCAACACAACCACTGGACTCCAGCTCATAAATAACTCCATTTCTGATGGTTACAGATTTGTGTTTTAAAATGTTCCTATTTCTTGAAATAGAGATTCCACTGTATTTTCATTTTGTCTTACAAGTTTGCTCACAGATCATAAAATTTAAATGAAACTGGCTTTAAAGGTCCATTACTAGAAGTAGATAATGGTGGTCAGAAAACATTTTTTATTAATGCATTTCATCCTGCCAGAGTGTCTTAAATGTTTTTTTTTTTTCTCTTGAGCACTGAATGTGTACACATAGGAAAATGGACCTGAATAAAGTTAACTTTGGTTCTCACTCCTTTGCTTTTGTGTTGTCAATAGTCCAGTAAGATTGAGGTTCTATCAGAAGTACTCAGATACGCAGTGGGCAATCGATAATTTCTACCTGGGCCCTGGATGCTTGGACAACTGTAAAGGGCATGGAGATTGTTTAAAGGAACAGTGCATCTGTGATCCAGGATACTCTGGGCCCAATTGCTACTTGACTCACACTCTGAAGGTAATGTTAAAGCCCCCAAAAGAAGCGTTTACCCCCACTGCAGGTCATGCCTGAAGAAACACTGTGTGAGACTAATACTTTATATCATCATTCTTTGGGGGCCCCAGTAAATAAATCTTTGGATGGCAACTAAAGAATATGTCTTAGGTTTCTTAGATACAAAAATATTAGGATCAAGGCTGGTACAATTTATCAGTTTATAAAATAAACCAGACTGTGTCAATTAAAGAACATAAATACTCTGCTTTTTTTAAAGCAGACTCTTAATTTGAAATCAATATTAATTCTTCACATTTTCAGTAGATGTACTGTGTGAAAGAAGATGCTAATGTTATGAAGCAGATAACCTAGAGTCATTATCACAAAGAAACAAATTTTCAAAAATGACTAAACAGTACCTGCATTTTTTAATTGAATTATAACTGACATTCAATGTTATTTTAGCTTCAGGTATGCAACACGTGATTGGAAAATTCTGTGCATTACTCAGTGCTCACCACGATAAGTGTAGTCCCCATTATGTCACCATCCAACATTATTACAATATTATCATGACCTGAATTTTTGTTCAGAAAATTCAGTGTTCTGATGAGCACTGCTGAAACGTGGCTGGTATTAAGAATAGAGAGGTTGTTCTTGGAAACTTTAGCTGTTACATCATTATTTAATGTGCAAAGTAAATACAGTTGCCCAACACAGTTGCCATATATGCATTCTGTTTCTACGAACAAATTCAGTGCATTCGTCACTGCAGTAACAGAAAAACGACTAAGCCAAAAAAGCACAGGTGGCTGAAATCAAATATGTAAGTGGCAAACAATGTAAATCAAACCTGTCCTGTCATTTTTTTTCCTATAAGACACCAACAACTTTGGAATTAATAAGTTAAAAAAATAACATTGGAGCAATACTTGTGTCTGAAGCTGTTGTCTATTTGTTATCAAATGAGATTATAACATGAGAAACCTAGCCATAGATAATGAATTAACTAAAAAAAAATCTAGTTTCATGAGCATTCAAATTTTGTTAATATTCCTCAGTTGGATAAGAAATTATACAAGTCTATATTATGAACTCAGATCAGACCTTTCTAATGAGAGTTTACATGGTTAACAGTGCATGTCTTCTGACTCTTGTGTTCTTATGTGTAAACCTTCATTTTTAAAATTGCATTTATTTGTTGGGGTGCCTAGGTGTGTCATTCGGTTAAGCATCCAACTCTTGATCTCAGTTCAGGTCTTGATCTCAGGGTTGTGAGTTCAAGCCCTGCATTGGGCTCCATGCTGGGCATGGAGCCTCCTTAAAAAAAAAAAAAATTACATTTATTTGCTCATATCAGTAAGATAAGGAAAGACTGCCACGTGACTACATGTCCTTAACTATAAAGATGATTAGGGCGCCTGGGTGGCTCAGTTGGTTAAGCGACTGCCTTCGGCTCAGGTCATGATCCTGGAGTCCTGGGATCGAGTCCCACATCGGGCTCCCTGCTCAGCAGGAAGTCTGCTTCTCCCTCTGACCCTTTCCCCTCTCATGCTCTCTCTCTATCTCATTCTCTCTCTCAAATAAATAAATAAAATCTTAAAAAAAAAAAAAAAAAAAAACTATAAAGATGATTATGTTCTGAGTTTGAAGAGAGTCCTTTTAAATCATTTTAACTACACAGTAAGATACCAACTACACAACTCATCTAAAGAAATGAAAAAGTAGTTTTTCTGTATACAGTTACTGCAATTGCATCTGTAACAAATTGTTTTCATGATACATCATTTCTATCATTTAAGAAACAAAAAACAAAAGAGTCATGCCTCAACACAGTGCAAAAGTATTATAGACAAAATGAATAGAAAAATCAGGATGTTTACAATGATGTGAGGGGATGAAATAATTTTGCATAAAATGTAACCATAACGGACCCTAATATTTTATTTATCTACTCTCTTTGGAAAACAGACTATTCCTGATTGTTGGTCATTCTTAGTTAGGATAAACTGGAGACCTGGGGAACATATTCTAGATTTTGAGTATTTCTCATCATCATCCTGAATCTTGACCCTGATAAACATGTAAAACCTGACTTCCAAGGTTGATTTTCTTTTGACTTCATACAAAAAGCTTTGGTTTCAAACATCCCTGACTAACCATATGGACATTCTAAGTTCACACTGTCCTAGAAGCTAAAGGGTCCTGGTTGCTTAAAGCAGTCCCCAAAGTGGGGGGGCACACACTCCTGGGGGAAAACAAAACAACCCACTGAAAAATGTTAGGGAAAAAAGTGCTAGAACATCTGTTTTATTTTATCTTATGCCTTTAAATTTTCATTTTTTAAGCATGTTTCATTATATGATAATAAATTACAATTGTACTTTTATATACAATATAAATAAATATTTGGAGACTATATGCTTAAGTAACTTCACAAATAGGAGGGTTACTATAGCCAACTTGCAATTGTTTTATTTTATGATTCTTTCTAGACTTAAAATTCCAATGACTGAACATTATTTAATCACTTTACATGATCATAATATATGATGAAAAAGAACATTTGTAGAGATATCTTGGCTTTTTTTTCTTAATATCTTTGGAAAAGCATTTGAAATCAGCCCTATTTTTTCAAGTCCAAGATGAAACTACGTTGTCTAAATTATTCCATAGTTATTATCTGAAATTGTTACTTTTAACCACATCGCACTTACTTGTTTCCAGACTTTCCTGAAGGAACGCTTTGATAGTGAAGAAATCAAGCCCGATTTATGGATGTCCTTAGAAGGTGGAAGTACCTGTACCGAGTGTGGGATTCTTGCCGAGGACACCGCGCTCTATTTTGGGGGATCCACTGTGAGACAAGCTATTACTCAAGATCTGGATCTCAGAGGGGCCAAGTAGGTCGTTTTTGGTTATTTTTAGCACAGCATCGCAAGTTGGCCCTAAAGTAAGGAACACATTTATGGGAGAAGTTGTTATCCGGGACTTGAGTAGACTATTTGTTCTAATTCACTGTTCTGATGGATAATAATATGTGTTTGCATTCAGATTCCTGCAGTACTGGGGACGCATCGGTAGTGAAAACAACATGACCTCCTGCCATCGGCCCATCTGCCGGAAGGAAGGCGTGCTGTTGGACTACTCTACTGATGGAGGCACGTTTCAGGGGTGAAAGCCACACCTTGGAGCACATTCCCAGTTTACATCCAGTGCCCCTCCATAAAGTTTCTGCAAAGCTTTGCCTCCTTTGCAGTGAGAATAGTGAAAATCATAAAGAGAAAGCTGCAGATCTTAGTCACGTTACGCTTCCATACATGAGACCTGTGTGTCCCACAGAATCTACCCACGAGGGGATAAGAGAGAAATCGCACCAAAAAATAAGCTCCAAGCTTTATGAATAAAGAAAAAATCTGGGGTGCCTGGGTGGCTCAGTCGTTAAGCGTCTGCCTTCGGCTCAGGTCATGATCCCAGGGTCCTGGGATCGAGCCCCGCATCGGGCTCCCCGCTCCGTGGGAAGCCTGCTTCTCCCTCTCCCACTCCCCCTGCTTGTGTCCCCTCTCTCGCTGTGTCTCTCTCTGTCAAATAAATAAAATCTTTAAAAAAAAAAAGAAAAAAAGAAAAAAATCCGTGTAACTGAAGCTTGATTATCAATGACATAATTAAGAAATAAATTTTATATGGTTTCCAAGTTAAGATCATTTTAAAAACATTTTAAAAGCTTTTGTGTGAACAATAAATAACAATGAGTCTGCAAGAAAATTTTATTGTGAAAGAAGATAGTCTGAATTCATGAGTCTTTCAAAAAACATTTTAATAAAATTCGATTGTATTATTTTGAAGTAGCTGAAACCAGACCAAAAATACCGTGAAGTCCTTAGGAGATCAGTTTTAGCAGATAGGTATCATTTGAATAACTAGCAGAGAAATAGATGAACTTAAAGTATTTTAGGGTATTCAAAAGTGTCTCCTTAAATAATTTAAACATCCCACCTACGCTTTTATCAAGTGATAAGGAAACTTATCAGTCCAACAAAATAAAAATTGCCTAGAATTAAAATAGCTACATTAAAATGTTAAATTACTAGGAGTTCCTGTCCAGAAACATGCAAAACATGGATGTATCTCATTATTTATGAAAAATAATGAACATAGCAATCTAGAACAAAATTTTAAGAACAGAAAATATATAATTTTTACTTCAGTGTTTTTATTTTTGGCCCAATATTTCTAACTACCCTTCCCCTCATACCATCAGCCTGATTTTTGAAACAGTGGTGAACCCTTATAGTAAAGTCAATGAAATCAACTCTCATTTCCTCATTGAAGCTTTCTTTGGGAAGCTTATTTATGGTAGCTGCAGTCTACTGTTGCTTTGTGGAGCTTTTTCCAGATATGTTACTATGTTGGTGTATTTGTTACGATAGGAATTACTTGGACTTTGCTCCATGAGATGGATTACCAGAAATACATCTCTGTTAGACACGACTACATACTCCTCCCTGAGGACGCCCTCACCAACACAACTCGACTTCGCTGGTGGCAGCCTTTTGTGATCAGCAATGGACTCGTGGTCTCTGGAGTGGAGCGTGCACAATGGGCACTAGACAACATACTGATTGGAGGAGCAGAAATCAATCCTAGTCAACTTGTCGACACTTTTGATGATGGTAAGAATTTTGTGAGCCTTTTGTCTGCTTATGTCTTTAGATGAGTTACCACATGAAAAGCATTCAGAAGAGTACCTAGCACATATTCACTGCTCAACAAATATTAGCTATTCTTTTACCCAGTGGTCTATAAATCTTCAATATTAACTGTTTGTTGAAATGTCGACTGAGAATTTAATAAATTCTGTTAAAGGCAAAATGTCTAGCTCTAAATATAATTTGAAATTTCAATATCCAAAATAATTTTAGTTTCTTTAGGAATTTCTGCACCACAGAGATGCACATTGCATTGTTTTAAAAGTGTGTCAAAATTTTTGTAATGGTGCAAGTCAACCAGACTAGCAGTTACAGTTTTTAACTTGGGTAATCATTATGTGAACATTTAGTAATATTTTCTAAATTTGATTGATCACCTTGGATTTATATATTATACCAATTACATAAAAATCATTTTTAAAGGCTAAGCAAAAAGGCAGAGCAGAGACATTTAAGTAATTCAACAATAAACCAACAAGAGAGTAACATGCCATATTGCTTCCAATTTACCTTAACAGAAGGTACTTCCCATGAAGAAAACTGGAGTTTTTACCCTAATGCAGTAAGGACAGCGGGATTCTGTGGCAATCCATCCTTCCACCTCTACTGGCCGAATAAAAAGAAGGACAAGACTCACAATGCTCTCTCCTCCAGAGAACTCATTATACAGCCAGGATATATGATGCAGTTTAAAGTAAGGGGAAGTGGCTCTTTCAAACAGAATATGGCATTACATTACATTGGGGATGGAGGGTGGGGAGAATGCTTATTTGAACAACTCTAAGGAGATGATGGATTTCATTCATTAAAGGAGACTTTATCTTATGAAGAAAAGAAGTAATCTTTAGCAAAGGCCTTTATCAGATAGGATTGTTTGAGCACAGATAAAATCAATTAGTATGTTGGGACATAGCAAGAAATGTAACTGTATTGTATTTCATATATGTAATCTTGAGTTCAGTTTCCCAAACCCTGGAAATGAAAAGCTCATATGGGTACCTCTGCCTACTCTGCCTATTTTTCTTTCTCTCTCTCTCTCTCCCTCTCTCTCACACACACACACAGTTTTTGTACCTCTTACTCTACACTGATTTCATATATTAAGCCACTTTCTATCCTTTTCTATCATCTATTTTTTTTTTTTTTTTGGTCTCTGACTTCTAAACACAAACATGCACAGTAGACTGGTTGGAACTCCTCCAAACCCTCAGATTTAAAAAGGACTCTCAAATCTTTTACATTCATATTTTATTCATAGAGGAGGGTAAAAGGGAAGTCATAGAAGATCATTAATAGTCAGATAATCTGAGAGAAAGATAAAGCAATATCAATTGATGTTCTTTTCATTATAAAACATTTTTAAAAAATATTTATTTATTTATTTGAGAGAGCGAGCATGAGAGAGAGAGAGAGCACATGAGAGGGGGTAGGGTCAGAGGGTGAAGCAGACTCCCCGCCGAGCAGGGAACAAAATGCGGGACTCAATCCAGGGACTCCAGGATCATGACCTGAGCCGAAGGCAGTCTCAACCAACTGAGCCACCCAGGCGCCCTATAAAACATATTTTTTAAAAAGGGGTGTTGCAGAAATACACTTTGTTACTAGATTACTTTAAAGACAAACATTGGTTGTTTACTTAAAACATTTGTTAAATGTTTTAAAAAGATGTCCTACAATGATGGTTAATAGTAAGAATCCTTTCTAGCAGGAATAAAAATGTATTCACAGCTGGTAGGAGAGAGAAATGGGGAGCTGTTATTTAATGGGTATAGAGCTTCATTTCTGCAAGATTTAAAAGTTCAGACCTTTTGCAAAAAAAGATGGGGGTAGGGGTATTCACTGTTTTCCTCAGTTTTATGTTAAACTTTCCTTCAGAGACTAAGGGGTGAGGAAATCTCCCCAAATGCTTCCATTCCCTAGGACTATCCTTAACTTAGTGGCGTGAAGGATGCTCAAGGTCATATTCAGTGATACACCACCCCTAATTCCAAGCCACCTCCTATAAGAGTGAAGATTTTTCCTCTAGCAGGCCCACACTGGGCCCCTATCAAAGCCATCATATTTGATTAAGTTGATAGGAGCCTCCTGTCTTGCTGCCTCTGTTAACCCAGAACTGAAGAGATGGACATCTTCTTCTCTAACCGAACCCATTTGTTTAAAAAAAGAAAAAACTTCGTCCCCCAAAATGTAATCCTTAAAGTTTCACCAACACTGCATTTTTTTATTGTTATGTTAATCACCATATATTACATCATTAGTTTTTGATGCAGTGTTCCATGATTCATTGTTTGTTCATAACACCCAGTGCACCATGCAAAACGTGCCCTCCTCAATACCCATCACCAGGCTAACCCATCCCCCCACCCCCCTACCCTCTAGAACCCTCAGTTTGTTTTTCAGAGTCCATCATCTCTCATGGTTCGTCTCCCCCTTTGACATACTCCCCTTTTCTTCCTCTCCTGTTATCTTCTTCTTTTCCTTTTTTCTTAAAATATGTTGCGTTATTTGTTTCAGAAGTACAGATCTGTGATTCAACAGTCTTGCACAATTCACAGCGCTCACCGTAGCACATACCCTCCCCAATGTCTATCACCCAGCCATCCCATCCCTCCCACCCCCAACCACTCCAGTAACACTCAGTTTGTTTCCTGAGATTAAGAATTCCTCATATCAGTGAGGTCATGTGATACATGTCTTTCTCTGATTGACTTATTTCACTCAGCATAACACCCTCCAGTTCCATCCACGTCGTTGCAAATGGCAAGATCTCATTCCATTTGATGGCTGCATAATATTCCATTGTGTATATATACCACTTCTTCTTTATCCATTCATCTGTCGATGGGCATCTTGGCTCTTTCCACAGTTTGGCTATTGTGGACATTGCTGCTATAAACATTGGGGTGCACGTACCCCTTCGGATCCCTACATTTGTATCTTTGTGGTAAATACCCAGTAGTGCAATTGCTGGATCGAATGGTAGCTCTAATTTCAACTGTTTGAGGAACCTCCATACTGTTTTCCAGAGGGGTTGCACCAGCTTGCATTCCCACCAACAGTGTAGGAGGGTTCCCCTTTCTCCACATCCCCGCCAACATCTGTCGTTCCCTGACTTGTTAATTTTAGCCATTCTGACAGGTGTGAGGTGGTATCTCATTGACCAACACTGCATTTTTCTAAGTCACCGTAGACTTCCTAAACTTCGCCTGTCTCCGACCTTTCCTTTCCGATCTGTACCCCTGGGCACTGTTGTCTTTGCCCTCCCCGGCTGGTACCATCATGTCCTTGTCCTTTGGCTCTGGGTGCTCTGCCAGTTCTCCTCCTACCTCCTTGGAATCTATTTCTGCCTCTTTATGGCTCTTCTTCCTCCAGCCCTCTAGATGTCCGCATTTTGCAGTACTTCTCCGCTCTCTTCTCTCTTAGATATTCTCCCCATTAGGAATTCCATTCATCCTTTGGCTTCTGGCATATCCTTAAGACCAGCTCCCAGATCTGCCTTTCCAGCCTTGACTGGTTCCCCAACAATTAGTTCAGTACTTTTACGTTCCGTGTACATTTCTACACCTTCATCATCCTGGCATCTCAACTTGCAATGGCCAACAGTGAAATTCATCTCTTCCCTTTCCCTACCAGCTCCTCTTTCTAATTCTCCTGTTTCTATTGATGACAATCCTTGTGACTTACTCATCAGCTTTAAAAGTTGAGGTAGTCTTTGATTTTTCACTCTTCACTTTTCACATCTAACCAGCTACTGCAGCCTTTTGAGTCTAATGTCCAGTGTCCCTGGAAAAAAAATTGGACCTGGTCATTTCTGTACAAAACCTTTTATGTCTTTGAGAAAAAACTTTTCTCAAAGGTTAAGAGCTTGCTCTTTTAGCTTTTTTTGTTTTTATTATTGAAGTATAATTGACATAAAATGTTATATTAGTTTCAGGTGTACAACATAGAGATTCGACAGTCTGTACATTACTCAGTACTCACCACGACGATAAGAGTAGTCACTATCTGTCCCTTTACAATGTTATTACAATATTTTCACCTATTTGATCCATTCCCCCCTACCCACCTCCCCTCTAGCAATCACCAGTTTGTTCTCTGTATTTATAAGTCTATTTCTATTTGTTTTGTTTTTTAGATTACCCAAATTAGTGAAATCATATGGTATTTGTCTCTCTCTAATTATTTCACTAAATACCCTCTAGGTCCATCCATGTTGTCAGAAATGGCAAGATCTTGGGCGCCTGGGTGGCTCAGTTGGTTAAGCGACTGCCTTCAGCTCAGGTCATGATCCTGGAGTCCCTGGATCGAGTCCCACATCAGGCTCCCTGCTCGGCGGGGAGTCTGCTTCTCCCTCTGACCGACCCTCTTCCCTCTCATGCCTCTCTATCTCTCATTCTCTCTCTCAAATAAATAAATAAAAATCTTAAAAAAAAAAAAAAAAGAAATGGCAAGATCTTACTCTTTTTTATGGCTGACTAATATTCCATTTGTATATATGTACCCCATATCTTTGTCCATTCATCTATTCATGGACACTTGAATAGCTTCCATATCTTGGCTATTGTAAATAATGCTTCAGTGAACATAGGGGTGCATATATCTTTTTGAATTAGTGTGTTCGTTTTCTTTGGTACATACTTAGCTGGGGAATTACTGGATCATTTGGTATTTCTATCCTTAATTTGTTGAGGAACCTCCATACTATTTGCCATAGCGGCTGTACCCAATATAGATTCCCACCAGCTGTGCCCAAAGGTTCCCTTTCATCCACGTCCTCACCAACACTTATTATTTCTTATCTTTTTGATACTAGCCATTCTGATTTGTGTGAGGTGATATCTTGATATCTCACTGTGGTTTGATCTGCATTTCCCTGATGATTAGTGAGGTTGAGCATCTTTTCTTGTGTCTGTTGGCCATCTCTATGTCCTTTTTTGAAACATATTCAGGTCCTCTGCCCATTTTTTAATGAGATTTTTGTTTGTTTTGAGTTGCATAAGTTCTTTATACATCTTGGGTATTAACCCCTTATCAGATATATCATTTGCAAATATCTTCTTCCATTCAGTAGGCTGCCTTTTTGTTTTGTTGATGGTTTCCTTCATTGTGTAAAAGCTTTTTATTTTGGTGTAGTCTGAATAATTTATTTTTGCTTTTTCCCTCCCCTAAGGAAACATATCCATAAATATGTTGTTAAGGCTGGTGTCCAAGAGATTACTACCTATGTTTTCTTTTAGGAGTTTGGTCTCACATTTAGGTCTTAAATCCATTTTGAATGTATTTTTGTATATAGTTAAGAAAGTGGTCCAGTTTCATTCTTTTGATGTTGCTCTCCAGTTTTCACAACACCATTTGTTTAAAAGAATGTGATTTTCCTAATGTGTGTTCTTGCCTCTTTTGTCATAGATTAATTGACCATATAAGTGGGGGTTTATTTCTGGGCTATCTCCCCTGTTCCATTGATCTGTGTATCTATTTTTGTGTCAATATCATACTGTTTTGATAGTATATCTTGAAATCTGGAGTTGTGATACCTCCAGCTTTGTGCTTTTTTCTCAAGAGTGCTTTTGCTATTTGGGGTGTCTTGTAGTTCCATATGAATTTTAGGATTATTTGTTCTAGTTCTGTGACAAATGCTATTAGTATTTTGATAGGAATTGCATTGAATCTGTAGATTGATTTGGGTAATATGGACATTTTAACAATATTAATTCTTCTAATCCATGAGCATGGTATATTTTTTCATTTGTTTACATTGTCTTCAATTTCTTTCATCAATGTCTTATAGTTTTCAGAGTGTAGGTTTTTCACCTCCTTGATTAAATTTATTCCTGGGGGGGGGGTTTGGTGTAATTGTAAATGAGATTATTTTATTCATTTCTCTTTATGCTACTTTGTTATTAGCATATATAAATACAACATATTTCTTTATATTAATATTGTATCCTGCAACTCTATTGAATTCATTTATCAGTTCTAACATTTTTCAGTGGAGTCTTTAGCGTTTTCTATATATAGTATCATGTCAGCTACAAATTACTTTTCCTTTCCAATCTGGATGCCTTTTATTTCTTTTTCTTGTCTGATTGCTGCAGCTAGAACTTCCAATACTATGTTGAATGAAAGTGGTGAGAACCGAAATGCTTGTCTTGTTCCTGATCTTAGACAAAAAGCTCTTGGGTTTTCCACCACTGAGTATGATGTTTTTCATATATGGCCCTTGTTATGTTGAAGTATGTTCCCTCTAAAACCACTTTGTTGAGAGTTTTTAATCATGAATGGATGTTGAATTGTGTCCAGTGCTTTTTCTGCATCTATTGAGATGATCATATAGTTTTTATCCTTTCTCTTGTTAATGTTATGTATCACATTGATTTGCAAATATTGAACCATCCTTGCATTTCTGGAATAAATCCCACTTGATTATGATGAATGATTCTTTTAGTGTATTGTGGAATTCAGTTTGTTAATATTTGGTTGAGGATTTCTGCATCTCTGTTCATCTTTGCTGGCTCAGTCGGTGGAACATGCGACTTTCGATCTCAGGGTTGTGAGTATTGGCTATAGAGATTACTTAAAAATAAAACCTTTTAAAAAAAAAGAATATTGGTTGGGGTGCCTGGGTGGCTCAGTCAGTTAAGTTTCTGATTCTTGGTTTCAGCTCACGTCATGATCTCAAGGGTTGTAGGATTGAGCCCCACATCGGTCTTTGCACTTAGCAGGAAGTTGGCTTGAGGAGTCTCCCTCTGTCCCTCCCCACACTCATGTGCATGCTCACGCTCTCTCTCTCTCTCTCTCTCTCAAATAAATAAATAAATCTTTTTAAAAAAAAGAATATTGGCTTATAGTTTTCTTTTTCTGTGGTGTCCTTGTCTTATTTGGGTACCAAGTTAATGCTGGCCTTATAGAATAAATTTGGAAATTTTCGTTCCTCTTTTATTTTTTAGAATAGTTTGGGAAGAATAGGTATTAACTCTTCTTTAAGTATTTAGTAGAATTCATCTATGAAGCCATCTTAGGGGACTTTTGTTTGTTGGGAATTTTTTGATTACTGATTCAATTTTGTTACTCGTAATCAATCTGTTCAAGTTTTCTCTTTCTTCCTGATTCATTCTTGGAAGATTTTATGTTTCTAGGAATTTATCCATTTCTTCCAGGTTGTCCAAATTTGTCAGCATATAATTTTGCATAGTATTCTCTTACAGTCCTTGTATTTCTGTGATGTCAGTTGTTATTTCTCCTTTTTTATTTCTGATTTTATTTATTGTAGTCCTCTCTTTTTCTTGATGAGTCTAACTAAAGGTTTAACGATTTTGTTTATCTTTTCAAACAACCAGCTCTTGATTAGAAATAGTACTTTTTTAAACCTTAATTCTCATCTTCATACAAAGTTGCATATTTTTTTATTCCCTTCCTGATTTTTCTTTTATTATGTTCCGTTAGCCAGCATATAGTATCAGAATTCAAAAAAAAATGTATTGTTGGTGTTCTGGCAGGCTGCTCTGTAAAAGCTTCTCTGAATATTTGTTGATTACTTATCAGAGTCATACTTTAGAGAGAAGGAATTTCTAATTAATGATAGGTATTTAATCTTCCCAATACATATTTGTTGTTTATGTTTGTTTTAGATTGTGGTGGGTTGTGAAGCCACTTCTTGTGGTGACCTTCATTCCGTAATGTTGGAGTATACTAAGGATGCAAGGTTTGTGAAATAATTTACATTCCTCCAAACTTGACTACAACTTCAAATGGTTGTCTGTTTTTAAAGCAACTACAGAAAAGCAACCTTTTACACTAAAAGTATAGTTTATGTTTATTTCACATGTATTGATTTCATTTATATAAAATTTACACGTATGTCTTATTTTCAGATTTTTCCTTCAAACCAAGAAAAATAATTTTTCATACTAGGCTGGCTGTAAGCCAACAAACTTTTTTTCTTCTAAAATAAGTAAGATACTACGTTTGTGCTCAAAGTAGAATTCTCTTTTACTCATGTTGCTCATTTTTAACCAACCTTAATGAGAATTTAAATCAATAAAAGATCTAAATATGCTTCAGCCAGAGTCACATGTCCCTACTTTATTCGGAGCCCTGTCTCCCACCACCACTTTTGAAAATGAATTATGGGGAGTTAAGTTGGGTAAACAGAGAATTTTGACAATCAACTCCAGGTATATTTCTGGTAATAATTTCAGTGGGAGGAAGCCATTAGAATGCAGCAGCATGCATGCTATTATTTTATTCTATTATCTGTGAATATATCCTTGTGCTTGTAAAGAGTTAGATATATCTTGTGTGAAATTATTTTAAATTTTTCTTTTAATTGTCTGTATAAATATATACAGGAAATGGAAAACTTATGTAAAAATACCTCGATGTAACCCAACCCCACAGTGGTATGTTGTCATTAGTCAGGTCATCTATTTCTCTTAAAGAGTTGTCTACCATAACCTCTGTGGTTTCTGCAGGTCTGATTCCTGGCAGCTCGTTCAGACCCAGTGCCTTCCTTCCTCTTCAAACAGCATCGGCTGCTCCCCCTTCCAGTTCCACGAAGCCACCATCTACAATGCTGTCAACAGCTCAAGCTGGAAGAGGATCACCATTCAGCTGCCTGACCATGTCTCCTCCAGGTAAATTGCATACTAAGGTAAACTTGGTGGGATTATCTGGCAATCTCTACAGAGCTCATGCGGTGAGATTCCATTACAGCTGTAGTACCCTCTCCACCCATGTCCCCAAATAGCAATGGCATGTCCCAAGAAGAAATAGGAAGACATGGTATCTTTTCTATAAATGCTAGAGAGCTCAAACCTGCTTTGGATGAAATATCACAGCACATGCCAAGCTCAGTCACAGGCCCCAAATCACAGACACTCAAAGACCTGGAGTTGGCACCATATCTGCTCCAGTGTTCTGTGATTCCCAAAGGCTGCAATGCTCATCCCATATACAGATACCCTCTGGGGTGTGCAGGGCTGGTCGGGTTACACGAAGCCACAGGATAAACATAATAGAGTGCAATCTTCCTAGAGCAACATTCACTTTACTCAAAGATTTGGAAAATGATATACCTCAATAAGAAAAGTGGACACAAATTTATTATGGAATAGAATAGGAAATTCACATCAAACTCTCAGGGAAGGTACAAGCTTCCAGATTGGCACTTTGGGAGATATCCCCAGAGTCTGAGGGGTACAAGTTCATTCACCTTGACTTGGATGCTTCAAGGAGAAGCCTGGGGAAGTCCTTTTCTCAGAAATAGTTCCCATTCCCAGGGCTGGAGGCGGGACACAGCCACGGGAAGTAACAGCCTACTGAATCCCTTCTGCTCTCTCTGGACTTTCAGTGCGACACAGTTCCGCTGGATCCAGAAGGGGGAAGAAACAGAGAAGCAAAGCTGGGCAATTGACCACGTGTACATCGGAGAGGCTTGCCCCAAGCTCTGCAGTGGACATGGATACTGCACCACTGGCGCCGTCTGCATCTGTGATGAAAGTTTCCAAGGTCTGAATCCCAGACTGTCACTTTTAATACGGAAGACCATGAGGTTCTCCTCACTTCAACACGTATACAAAGGCCACTGGGAGGGGCACCTGGGTGGCTCAGTTGGTTAAGCGTCTGCCTTCAGCTCAGGTCATGATCCCAGGGTCCTGGGGTCGAGCCCCACATTGGGCTCCCTGCTCAGCGGAGAGCTTGCTTCTCCCTCTCCCCCTCCCCCTGCTTGTGCTCTCACTGTCAAATAAATAAATAAAATCTTTAAAGCAATTTTTTTTAAAAGGCCACTAGGAAGGAAAGAAAAACTCCATCCCTGAGGGATTTGGAATAGATGACACACTCTTTGTACAGAGTTATTTATCTTTGGAATGAAATATCAAGGATAATTTTCTGCCATATTCCTTGAAGTATTTTTTTAAATGCAGAATTCTGGGGTGCCTGCCTGGGTGGCTCAGTCGGTGAGGCGGCCAACTCTTAATTTTGGCTCAGGTCATGATCTCAGGGTCCTGAGAACAAGCCCCACATCAGGCTCCACACTGCACATGGAGCCTGCTTAAGATTCTCTCTCACTGCCCCTTCCCCTGCTCATGCACTAAATAAAAATATAAATAAATAAAATAATTTTAAAAATTAAATAAAATACAGAATTCTATAGCACTTCACATTCCCCATCCTCCATATAATTCCCTGCCCCAACCACTACCCCCAACACTTTATTTTTGCTTCTGGCCCTCTCTCCTTCCGGGCTTAGCTGCCCATCCCTGGATACTTTGCCAACATTCCTTCTTTCTCCGTCTCTCCAATAGCAGCTGCCCCTGTCCTCCCAAGATGTAGCTGACGATTCAAGATATTCTGTTTTCCAGGTCACTCTCTCTCTCTCTCTCTCTCTCTCTCTCTCTCACATACACACACACACACACACACACACAACTCAAAAAAAAATACATTTTTACTGCTTGGGCTTCTAGAAGCTGAATACATGATTTGGGACCGAGTATGTACTCAACTCCTGACATCAGAGGAAATTGCTCCCTTGGCCTGAGAGAAGGCCTGCAGCCTGCTTTCCTTTGATGCAGGGTTTCGAACAGGTTTCTGTTGTTACAAAGTCTGCATAATCACCATTATATCCTCAGAGCCTAATACTTGGCATATAGCAATGCCCAGTGAATCCTTTTTGAATTAATTCTTACATTGCCTTGTACTTTACTATTTACACAGTGTCCCCCAATTTATCCAGCAGAGTCATTAAGAACTTATGATACCCCATAAGTTAGCTGTGGTTAATATAATTATTCCCACTTTACAGGTAAAGAAACTGAGACTCCGGGAACTTATGTGACTTGCCTAAGATGACACAGCTAGTCAGTATCAGAGAGAAGACCATTTACCCAGTTGTTCTTTCCAGTCAACCTTGCTGTGTCTCGTAACCGAGGATTTATCCAAAGAGGAGCAGAATTATACAACTTCCCTACGGGGAAGTTTTTACAATGTAAAAATCCATAGATTTGACTTCGGGAGTAGAATATATTTAGATTTCTTGGTTGATGCTATTTCCTGGCCTCCAAATGAAATGAGTATGATTAATGTAGATGGCTGCACATCTCTCATGTCAGAAATTACTTAGCCGTGATCTCTTTCTTCTTGTCCCATTACCGCTGAGACCAGCTGGTTCTGTCCATGTATTAGCTGGAGAACTTGAACTTGAGGCAAATGAACAAATCAGATGTCTCACAAGGAGTCCCAGATGCCTGGAATTTGCCCTCTCCCTTGCTCCAACAGATCTATGACCTTTTGATTTGGAACTATTGTAGATATTTAGGCAAGTTGTGCTGTTCAAATCAAGGGCAAATGCAAACACATACACATATGCTAATTTTATGTCTTAAATGCCCATATTTCAGCTCAGTGGTCTCATTCTTCCAGCCTATTCACTATTCATTTATTTATATGACCTTGTTATTGCATATCTTATAGGTGCTAAGTATTGCATAAGGTACTATAATCCAACAATGAATAAAATGCAGACTCTGCCCCCAAACTCAAGTATAGAGCTGGAAGAACCAGAACATGACTTATCCTATTTTCTTTTTTCTATTTTTCTTTTTTAGATTTTATTTATTTATTTGACAGAGAGAGAGAGAGCATGAGCAGGGGGAGGGGCAGAGGGAGAAGCAGGCTCCCTGAGGAGTGGGGAGCCTGATGCGGGGCTCGATCCCAGGACCCCGGGATCATGACCGGAGCCAAAGGCAGTCGCTTAACCAACTGAGCCACCCAGGTGCCCCTTATCCTATTTTCTGCTGCAAAAGCATGCTGGGGAGAAAGAAATTAGGTTGGTTTCTAATGCCAGCATGAGAGCTCTCCACCAAGACCCATCATTGATGAACATGTAGGCCCAGCCAGATGCTGGGTATTTACACAATCGATTCACGTGAGCACTAGGTACATTAGCACCTACATAATGTAGCACCCATAGTGGGATTTTTTTCAAGAACACAAGCCAATAATTGCTCCAGTACAAAAGAAACATTTATTTCTGGGAGTCTGTATCTGCTTGGTATGTTGTTCTTACGGTAACAAGAACGGACTAAGCCTAAGATTGAATCCTTCATCTTTAATGTTTCTGCTGCTTCTCGCTAACTTTTGCAATTATTCCCTTCCTTCTAGGTGACGATTGCTCTGTTTTCAGTCATGATCTTCCCAGTTATATCAAAGATAATTTCGAGTCAGCAAGAGTCACTGAAGCAAACTGGGAGACCATTCAAGGTGGGGTGATAGGAAGTGGCTGCGGGCAGCTGACGCCCTACGCCCATGGAGACTCACTCTATTTTAATGGCTGTCAGATAAGGCAGGCGGCCACCAAGCCTCTGGATCTCACTCGAGCAAGGTAACCAAACTTCCGTGTTGTAGTTCAGACACAGAACTGGCCACAAGACTGGTCACTTCCCGCTGTCTATTAAATATAAGTGTGAACGTCACGGCATGGGTGTTGCAAAGCCGTGGAGACCTAAATGTCACTTGAATTTGGTAGGAGGAAGCAATGTATGGTTTCACAACTCAGAATTATGCTTTGCTTCAATTTATTGTAGAATTACCTTGTTTTTCTTTACATACACTGGCTGAGTGGTGGTGACATAGGCATAAGCCAGGAGAAATGGTCAAATATAAAAAACTGATAAGTCAGTCAAATCAACATGTTGTATACCTTAAACCTACACAGTGTTTTATGTCAATTATGTCTCAATAAAGTTTAAAAAAAGTAATGAAAAAAATTTAAGTTGGCTGTAGATAACATATATAGATAATTTCAGGTTGATTATTTGCAAGTATGTAAATATAAATGTATATCTGAAGTAAATTTGTAGTCAGGCAAACATATATACCTATATTTACTATATGCAGTTACAATAAACAGAAATGGAGGATCAGTGAATGGATGGGAACTTTAAAAATCACATGTTCTTGGAGCTGGTTATTAATGCAGAGTAGAGTGGACAGAGACTGCAAATCGACCAGGGAAGTGACAGAGAAAAAGAGACCCCAGGAAGGTTGGATTTCCTTCCCCACCTGCTCATTCCCAACTCTGCCACCTCTTTTGTCTGGGTAATTCAAAAATAAGATTCCAAGGCTTTATGAAGATTGCAAAGTACTGGACTAGAGTATCCACTGACTGTTGCAAAGTGTTCTGGAGCTACAAGGATTTTGAGAATTAGATGCTTGGTTAAATAAAAATGTAGACGTTTACTTAAGACTTTTGACTTTAGAAAATATTAGTAATGTATTTTCAGAGGCAGAAAGGCAAGTTTAGGGTCTTTTGGTATGATAAACAAATGAAAATACAATGAAGTCCTGTGTGATAACTACGGAGGTGCCAAAAGTTATGTTCACCCATCCCGTGTTTTCCTGCCAGAAAGATGGACTTAATCTGGGACAGCCTGATGTTTCCCTTGACCCCATATACAGCTGCAAGTAGCTGCTGCTTAATGAACAATTGCACGCCATGTTGTGCAAGCAAGTTTGTTTTAATTTATGCGTTCACAAGTGTTAAGTCTATTGCCTCATTGTCACCAGGTCCCGTAAATGGCACTACTCTACTAATCACCAGGACTCTTATGAGGGTAGATTTCCTATGTTTAAAAACTGTATCTTCTGGGGCACCTGGGTGGCTCAGTCATTAAGCGTCTGCCTTCGGCTCAGGTCATGATCCTGGGGTCCTGGGATTGAGTCCCACATCAGGCTCCCTGCTCAGCGGGAAGCCTGCTTCTCCCTCTCCCACTCCCCCTGCTTGTGTTCCTGCTCTCGCTGTCTCTCTGTCAAATAAATAAATAAAATCTAAAAAAACAAAACAAAACTGTATCTTCTAAGGGCAAGGATGACCATGAGGAGCAAAATGACACTTGAAACAGATTAACAGACACGGTCCAGAGCCTGCATGTCCAACTCAGTTTTCCCTCCGCTATGATCTCCAAACATACTCTCCTAAAATAGACATGATGATCTATCCTTGTGCAGATGCTGTTCAGCTTGGAGCTATGGGGGGGCGGGGGGGAGGATGTAGTATAAATATCCTGGTTTTATTCCTGGTCCTCTCTATGTCCTCATGCTTATTTGGCCCACATTACCTTCCAGAGAATAGAAGGTATTTGGGGCAAAATACTCTAAGACAAGAAGATCACAGGCCTTTTGAAAGTCAAAATTGTTTTCTTGGTGTAGAAAACCCACCTTCTGAGATGATTTCTCATTGGTAGGAGGTAAAGGTTAATATAAATACATTTTTTTATTAACACGCCTTAGTCCTAGGACTGGATGCTTCCATTTCTACTCTATGACCTCAGAAATTCGCAAAGGTTAAAAAGAAAAAAATTAGAAAGTATAACTCTTCTACTACTCCCTGACGCGCGTTTCCCTGTGTTTTCAGCAAAATCATGTTTGTTTTGCAAATTGGGAGCAGTGCGCAGACGGACAGCTGCAACAGTGACGTGAGCGGCCCGCGCGCCGCCGACAAAGCCGTGCTGCTTCAGTACAGCGTCAACGGCGGCATCAGCTGGCACGTGATCGCGCAGCACCAGCCCAAGGACTTCACGCAGGCCCAGAGGGTGTCCTACAACGTCCCCCTGTAAGTGGCCCGATCCCTGGGGATCACCGAGATTGAGCTCCTGCGCCAACACCGCCACGGTGGGTGGCGGCGGAACCGAGATGCACCCAGAGCTCCAGAGTTGGGTTGCTGTTTCCCGTGAGGCCGGGAGGAGGCGCACGAGGGAAGAGAGCGTGACCGCTGAACGCAGGGGGCGCTTTTTGCCTGTTTCCCTTTCTCTGACGGGTATTTCTAGTCCTTTAGAGAAGAACATTTTTTAATTTTCGGGGTGCACTCCTTTGAAAGTTTTCTGAGGCTAGGCAACGGTGTCCCTTTGGTTCGGCACCGTACCCCCAATTCTAGCACAGCGCCTGTCACACAGAAGGCATGGCCCGTACGTGGACCGAATTCGGTGCTCTTCCTTCCTTCCAGCTGCTTCCGGAGCCCGGGGAGGTAGGGAGGGAGAGGGAAACGGACTACAAGTCCTGGAGTCGCCCCTAAAATTTAATGCTGCTCAGAAGAGTGCCGTGACCTAAGCAAATCCGAATTCCGTAGCCTCAGTCGTGTTGATTTAGACTGGCCTGCCGTCTTTGAGGTCTGGAAATGGCATACCAGGAAGTTTTGTCTTCCAGCTCCTAACCTCTTTGTCCTTCTGTGACCCAGGGAGGCACGGATGAAAGGAGTTTTATTGCGCTGGTGGCAACCTCGCCACAACGGAACAGGTCATGATCAATGGGCTTTGGACCATGTGGAGGTCGTCCTGTGAGTATCTGATACATTGCATCCCATGTCCATTTCGGGAAGGTTTGAAATTCTTTTGCTATGGCATGCTCCTTAATTCAGTAACAACCGTTCCTGATGAGAAGCCCTCGCGAGACTTTGGCCTACGCCCTTCGGCAACTGCAATCTGTAGCTCGAGTCAGCCTGAAGTAGCAAAGTCCCCAAAGCAATTTAATATGCTTAGAAAACTTCAATAAGCAAAAGACGTATCTGCGGATTTGACCATATTAGTGAAATTGGGTAACACAAAAGTCTCGAGGTAAATGGGAAACAATGTCTTTGCCGCATCTGGGTTGCCTTATGAGATGGCATGACATCCTGAAGAGAGAAGGGGTCTATTTCTAGCTAAGGCGCCCAGTTACAAACACCTGTCTGAGCCACAGATGCCCAAGGCATTCTTCCGTGCAATGACGCAATGGCCACTGGAGCGAGGAATTTGTGGTTTCAGATCCCCCCTGACCAACCCCAGCACCGAGCACGTGGAGGGTGTTCCCCCGTGGTTTCTCCCGTATAATAAAGTTGGCACTGCTCTCACCTAGCCGGGTTGACTGTTCCGCAGAGAGATGACTTGCTTTTTCTCTAACGATCTAGTTCCTGTAGAACTGGAATGCTTATGTCTCGACGGGTTCGGACTGATGGCTCCAAGTGGTTGGCAAGGAGAGGCGAATCTTCTCGGTAGATAGGTTCAAATGTTCATTCTGTTTACCAAACCGAAAATGAAATCAGTCCTTTGGCTGATTTCAGTCATTTTGAAAGCAAATTTAAATGATTGATTTGTAGGCAAACTACCAGATTTGTTTTCTTTCAATCATAGCCATGAGCTGAATTTTTCAGTCTTGAGTTAGCCCTCGTCTTAGTTTTCACTGAGGCACCTGCTTGCATGGCATCCATATCAACCCCCAAATCCAAGAGCAACCTGGTCCCTACACAAGCCCCCACTGTGCGCTCTGCTGCTTTGGACAACTTGCTGGGCTCTGCCTCCACAAGACAAAGTTGAAGTTTAAAAACAGTCCAAACTCATTTGGATCTATACATGAGGCTGATGTTTTACTTAGATGTTGACTTCCTCAGAACACATTCTTCCAGGAGAATAGAATATAACCTGGGCTCTAAAATGAATACAGATATGTAGCAAGGCCAGAGATATGTCCAAATAGACCAAAAACCAACCCTACAACCTTTCTGCCCTAACTACTCTCCTTTCAGAGCAGCACTTCTCAATCTGACTGAACATCAGAATCACTTAGGAGCTTTTGGAAGAAGCGTCCCTACAGATGATTTGATTTTAAATTGATCTGCAGTGGGAGCTGAGCATCAGTCTTTTTTAAAAGCACCTCGGGTGATTCTAATAAGCTGATTGAGAATCAGATTTAGAGTCAATAAACACTTTTTATCTTTCAAGTCTCTTGCCAAGTCAGTTTACGTTAATGGGGCTTCCTGTGCCTGACAAAGCCTTACCAACTCCTATGGAAACTTCAAAACCTGACAGTCCTCAAAAGAAGGCAGCTAATACTGCCCTGGGGTAGACGTATCATATGTGTGAGTAGCTATTTCTTCTCCTGCCACCCAGCCAAGCAATTTCAGTTATTGGTTTCAGATTTCAGAGGCTTATCATCACCATAATACCCGCCCTTAGACAAAATTAAAGAGCAGGTGGGCTCAGCCATGCAAATATCCTCCCCTGGTATGAAACAGCCCCTTTGCAACTTTGAAGCAGAACTCTGTTCTTCGTTCCCTATCCTGGAATGCCTGGTGTTGATACTAATTTTTAGAAGCAGCCACCAGCATCATGATATTACTGTAAGAGTCAAGTTCAGATTCTCTGGAATCTATCATATCAGTCATACCTGTTGTTTCCAGTATTTTTCTGGAGAAATAATCTGTATTTGTAAAGACTTCACTTTGATTCCATCTCCAGAATTTTAGTACTTTCAAGAATTTTTCACGTACCAGGCACCTGTCTGCTCTTACCTTGCATGGTTCTCTCGGATTTTCAGGGCACTAAAACATTTTGCATGAGGAGTGAGCATTCGCCACACATGAATAGTTTCAGTGAATAATTTAAAAATTATAGCTTCACACATATCACCGTATAATTTTATTTTTATATATTACACAGGTAATTTTAAAAGCAAATGCTATCTCTTTAATGACGTTTTAAAAATTTGTTAAAATTAAAGGAGTCACTTGGTTTTCTTTCCTTTTCTTTTAATACCAATACAGAGAAAGTATATTTTCAGAACTATCTTTTTGATATTTTGCTCTTGTCTTAGGATTTAACATTTCTATACCACTGTACCCTTTCAAAGTACTTCTTTTCAGAAGAGTCAAAAGTTTTAAGGCATTTACTAATTAATATGCCCTTGATAGCTCTACAGATTAATTACTTTAAGTTATTCATTTGATAAGCTTAAAGTTCCAGAGGATTCAGAAAAATAATTTTCCAGAGTATCTTTCAACCAAATGAGGTGCAGAGAAGCTATCCAAGGCTAATTTCATGATTCACAAATAGTGCTAATTTTAATTTTGCTACAGTGAATGTGTATTTAGAAATAGAGAGATAGAATTCTCCCATATATCCCTAAGAATTCAAAATATCCTCAAATTCACTATACTTTTATATGATAACATTTAGTTATATAAACTAGTATGGCTAACTCCTCAAGTGTGGACGGGAGAGGAGACTGGGATGCAAATCTAAAGAGATACAAGCCCTGCCTAACTGATTACTGCAAAGAGGGCTGCTAATATGTTTTTGCAACTAATGGTTGGAAAACCATTACATTTCTAGAATGTATTTTCTTTTCTGAATGCAGACTGGCCTAATCTAGCTTTATTACCATAGTTTTGCTTCTGTGCATGTGCACTAAGGACACATGCTAAAAATCCCTAGAAAGAAAAATTGTGGTCATGCATGGTATCTTGAGTTTAACCTCACTACTGCCCATATTAACTAAGAAGAGAAAAGAGTTTGATGAGAACAAATTCAGCACTTTTGAAAAATATTCCAAGGCTTAAGGAATGCATCCTAAATTGACAACATACATAATAAATGTGTAATCTCATGGCTTAATTCTAACATGCTCCATGTGGAAGGATTTGCATTTCATAAATATGGATGTACAGAGTGACAGGCCCCACACCATAAAGATAAAAAGCACCATTTATCATTTAACAAGCAAAGTTACTTATGCTTTGTGCTTGTTTGAGAGTGAAATCTTTTCGTTCTCATGATGTTTTTCAATATAACCTGCCCATGAAAAGCACTTCAGGATGATTGGCCCCTGCTATTCTGGCATAAAACAGATGGACTGAATTGACAGATCACTTTTTTTCCAGCCTCACTAGCTTACCAAAAGGCCTTATTCTGTAAAGTCTGAACAATGTAGCATAACACAGTCACTGACAATCATGTCAGAAACCTAATTTCTCTGAATTCATTTGCTAGCATAGAACGTTTTTCAGTAAATGTTTGTGAACACGCTTGGGCAGACCCCTCACAAGATCCATGCTGGTGGGGTTCTTCTTAGGATAAAGGAAAATTATTGGCCTTAATCTTTTCTCTTGGGCACTCATCCTTCTACCCTAAGAATCTCCCGCACCCAACTATGCATTTCATTCACACATCACATTTTTTTGTGTACGTGTTTAAGTCACAACCTGTCATGTGGATAATGAAGTGGGCCAATTTTTGCATGTGTACCTTGAAAGCAAATTGCTCAGTAAAGAGCCTTTGTAAATTGATTTACTAAGAAGTGAATCTTTACCACATTTACTGGGAATGAAAACCAGTATGTTGCTAACTATGGTCTTAAACGCATCTATCAGATTTTAATAATATGAGTACCATCATGACCATCCCCTCATGCTATTCATTATCAAAATACTGTCATTTTTGGCACAAATGATTTATGGAAACGAGCATAGTACATTTGTTGCAAAGCATATTTATCCTTTATTAATTTGACTGTGTTATCTGATGTAGTAGACGTCTGTATTTTTTAAAGCCCATTCCTTAATATATTCAGAAATAAGCATTTTTCTAAAATGTAAATAATTGAAAAAACAGATAGCAAAATTAATGTCAGTTATTAACTACTACTTTCGTATTTATACTTTATACACAACATTTATGCCAAATGTAGTACTAAGCTACATGTACCCTGACATATGGTTATGAGCAAATATTGCATGTTGCATTACATTAAAAAGTCAAATATATGTATATAGTAGGTGTAGAAGAATAAGAAATAACTTCTTTAATTTTTATTTTCAAAAGAGATGAAAAATCCTATATTGCATCTAAACCTGATCAGACTTTTATGACTAATCACAGTGCTGCATGCATTGAAAGGCATTTTTTAACTTGTGTTATATTTCATTATTTGCTGTCATTGGTTTTCCACTAGAGTAAGGTAAGTCCTCTTACTAATCCTGGGTAATTGTTGACCGATGGTTTCATCAGTGTTACCTACATTAACAGAAGTGTTGTCAAAGACCTTTGCAATTAAAAAAAAATTGTGAGAACAAAGTTGTATATGATATTGAGATACACTGGGACATTTGAACCCTATGTCATGTAAACTCAGGGTTCAGCAACCTTGTGGCGATTCTGTAACATATATGCAATGTTAGGCACAACAGAGTGCTAATCAGCATTGCTTCACTGGGTAACAAATTTGACTCTATGCCTGGGACTGTGTTAGGTGCTTTTGAAGTACTCATAGTTTATAAACTTGTTGTGAGGGGAAATTAAAACCAGAAATGTGTGCAAAAGACCTAGGGGCTCTGATTAAATGTAACGTCTTTCAAAAGATCTACTGTGCTGGAGATGCGTGAGGGTAACTTGACTTTTCAGTTTTATTCTAAATTAATAAGTGAATTGGCAGAAGGTAGTGGACTTATTCATAACATTTGTGAGTTCTAGATCCTATTCTTAGGTAAGATTTGCCCTCTTTAATATATAGCTGCATTTGTCCTCTAGTGGAGATACTTTAAGACTTAGGAAAGAAGTTAAAATGATTATCATTTATTAATCATCTGCTTACTATGCTAGAAGTTTCCATTTAGTCCTTACAACTCCCCTGAGGTATACATTACCAGATATTATTCTCCTTACCACTTAACAGAGAAAATAAATATGAAATCTTCAACATTTGTGAGATATATGAGTCTACACTTATTTCTGTGTGGCCTTCCTGAAAATGCATGGTCTTGAAAGTGAAATATCCAGCATCCTCTATGCAGGGGAGTTTCATTGATTAGTTTGAATGGCAGCTTCTCATCTGACCCTCACCAATATTTCTCTGGAAGATGTGACAATCCACTGAATTCTTATTCCTGCATTCATATGAGGTGTTATTTATTGTATCATATGTTTTGGTAATAAATAAATTAATTACAGATCAGTAAAAATACTTACATTTCTATGAGCTCAGATTACTTCTACCAAGTCTCTGTCTTCCCCATTTCCATAAGAACCTATTAAAAATCAATTGAAATTTTTTCATAATAATTAATGACCTAAGATACTGGCTCCAGTGAGGAGTAACAGTTCAGAAGAGCACAGTCATTCTTGAAAATTCTTGCAATATCCGGGGCGCCTGGGTGGCTCAGTCGTTAAGCATCTGCCTTCGGCTCAGGTCATGATCCCAGGGTCCTGGGATTGAGCCCCGCATCGGGCTCCCTGCTCAGCGGGAAGCCTGCTTCTCCCTCTCCCACTCCCCCTGCTTCTCCCTCTCCCACTCCCCCTGCTTCTCCCTCTCCCACTCCCCCTGCTTGTGTTCCCTCTCCCACCGTGTCTCTCTCTGTCAAATAAATAAAATCTTTAAAAAAAAAAAAAAAAGAAAAGAAAATTTTTGCAATATCCGTATTTCCTATGCAGAAGCAGAGAAGCATCTTATATTTCCATATCATCTAAGTCCCTAAACTCACTCAGCGATAGTGAACATTTAAGTCAGCATTGCCAAGATGCCACTGATATTCATTCTCCCTTCGCTCAATGGTTGACAGTAGGAAAATTTAAAAATGGACCAAGTTCAATGCATAGCCAGAGCAAATCGATAGGTCAAATAGTGTAATTGATATGCCTTGGGATGAACATTACCTGCCTTCATTGGACTGATAATAAAAAATTACTTTCCCCTGTAACTGCAGTGGAAAAACAAATCTTAATTCCATCACACCTATTATTATTTTGGTTATAAGGTTATCTATATATCTACATGTATCAGAGACAAAAACAGGCTCCACAAAGAAAAAAAAAAGTAAACATGAGATCTTTCAACTTGTTTAAGAGTGCCCAATCCTGTAAGTTAGACATTTCAGAAGCCACAACATCTGTTTAATGACCACATCAGTTTATTAAATGGCCTAGTAGGCAGACAGCAGTTTGGTATAGCTTTCCACGGTGCTTGATTTTAAAAAAAGCTTATGAACAGGAAAAACCTGCTTCTTTAGATTCCGACCTAACAGACTCCAGAAATATTTATATTTTACATATGAAAGTACTAGTTAGTTTCAAGAATGCTTTGAAAATCTGGCCATTTTGAATGTGACTAGATAAACACAAGGCATCTATAGCAAACATGTGCATCAACATTCTCAGGGATCCAAAGATATGCTGCTGATATTTAAATTTATTCAAAATTAAAGGGTATCCAATGAATCAAAATGCCTTCTAATGAGATTTAAGCTTCCATGCTGGACTGACTGTCAAGGTATTAAAGATCTGCAACCTGTTGATATTTATTTTCTTATAAATAGTAATGGAGAATAATGAGTCAATAGTTCTTTTAGAGAAGGTGCTTTAAAGCCATGAAACATGCACATGAATTTTTGTTAAAAATTGAATGTTCCTTTGTTCCCATATATTGAGGTCACTTTCGTGTCAATCTAGGTTGTATTGGGATAACTAAATATCTTGAGTGTTCTGAGTTTTTTTTCTATGTAAAATATTTTAACTATTTTAAATTCTCTTTGAGTACCTTATATCTTTAAACATGTTTTCAACAGAATAATTTTCATTGCTTTAACCTTGCAATTATTCTTTATAGTTAAAGAGTAATGATTTACAACAGGAATCCAATCAGTAAGTCACCAAAAGTTCAACAGACATGCCTTGACCACCCACGGGTGAGGCAGGAGGCTCAGTTCTGTGGTGTGGGGGTGGGGGGAGGAATGGGGGACAGGCCACTGCCCCAACAAAATACAGTCTCCCTCCAGAGCAGAGGATGAGCACTATGAGGGTTCAGAGTTGGGGGGCAGTCCCTTCAGTGAGCAATATATAAAATGTGATACTTGGGAAAAAAACATAGAAATTTAAGAAGTGGTGTAAGGGGTTGACCAGTGAGACAGATGGAAAAGGCTCAGGGTGCGTTTGAATAGAGCAGTCTGTATGGGAATGTAGTGGAAGAAAGGACTTGACAGAGTAAGATGAAACGTGTAGAGGACTTGAAGTATCTGGCTAAGTTGACTTAGATGTCATGATAGCTCCATGGACTAGAGGATCGTGAGTGGCTTGTTACCAAAGTAAAGCCAACATTTGAGGGAAAGTTTACTGAGACCGGTGTGCCAAATGCACCCTGTGTATGTGGGAAGACACCCACACACATACATACCATTGTGTATTCAGTGATATGTTCTCAGGATCTCATGGTTTCTGTTCAGCAGCGTTTTTTTTTTCATAAGGAGAGAGAATGAGGAGGCTAGTTTAGGGGGCCACTATAATAACATATATATAATCATATAAGGGAAAGGGCTACAAGGTGACCTACCGTGTTGGGAGGAAGATGGCCTAGTGCCAGTCCCAGCATTTTGTGATGAAAGAGGTAACAGGATTCTTCTAACACTTGATTCGTTCAAGACTAATTAGTTAAAGATAAAAGGTCATTGCTCTTCTTTTGTAACCAGGCAGCAATTAGGACTTACAGCTGATAATAAATAGGGGATAAATTCATTTCATCCTTCAACTATGGAATTGAAACCAATGACTTCGTTAATACATGTAACACTGCAACATCACGGGAGGAAGGAGGGCTAGTAAAGCTACTGAAGATAAACCTGATTGTTTTGTGGTTTTCTCTACAGTGTCTTCAGAGTATATTCTAGCTTCCATTCTATAGTTTCCAGCATTTTGCTAAAATAGAAACCTAGAGTAGAAAATTATTAGCACTTCATTTTATTTTATAAAATAGATATCACTGTGAGTCTTTTTATCAGGTTTTCAGTATAGATGCTGTTGCTTTTTGATTAAGCGTGTCTGATGACATTCACTTTATATATTTTCCTTTGAGATATTTTATTATAAATTTTCTAATGATCAAACTATAAAACCCTCATTTTAAAGGTTTTTGTATATTATAAATGTTAGTGTAATATGCTTAAATATAATACCTAGTATAACATACTATGTAAAACAGTACCATTTTACACCTTACCTAGTATATTGATCATTAATAACCTGGAATATGCTGCTTGGTGCAAAATCACCCGTTGCCTCCTCTTTACCCTAACTCACGCTCATGTCATCTTGACCTTCATGGTGGAATCACATCACATGACATCATCCCACTCCAGATACATTTTATGTTTCCATGAAATTAAGGAGGGAAAAATTCTGTGTCCAGACAGCATTGAAGAGACTCAGTGAATTTGAAAAATACTGATAGGCTCACGTTTCAAAACCACGTTTTGATGCCACAGTGAGATATGTTGTCACTCAGGTCAGTGTGTGAAAGGAGTGTGATTCTTTCCAGTGATGTTATAGATAATGATCCTTTTTAAAGTATATTTTCCATACCAAAACTTTTAACAGCTATGTCTACCAATATTGTGCAATTTCCTACAGAAATTTTCGGTACTTTTATCAGCTTCACGTATAGTATGTACGTATGCATGTACGTATGTACTTACGTATATACATACACATACACATACAGTCAATTATACAGTCGATTACACTTTCTTAGTATTTTATGATCTTTTTTCCAGTGGAATGTCTTTTTCATAAGACCATGTTTCTAGACCCCAAATGCTTACTGTTTGTGGAAGGCCATGAGAAAAACTTACTTTATTTTGCCCCTGAGTCTAAGGAAATAGGAAGGTCAAGCTGATTCAGCTAACAACTTCTTTTTTGCTTTTTAAGCTTTAAACGAGAATGTTTGCTAAAGGAATCAAATTATGTTTCCTACTTGTTAAAGATGTGTCTAAATAAGGTAATGGGTACAGCACACACTTCCTCTCAAATGAAATCCACCCCAAGTGTTCAGAAAAAGGTCCAGAATAAAATTCAAAAAGCCAAAACAATTTCAATCCACTTTCACCATGAGTCAAGAGAATTTACCTTTTTTATTTTTTTTCTGGTTTGGAGCTCACTAATGAAAAGAAGGGGATTTCTTCAAGGCCAAAGGCAGTGAATGCAGGTGTCAACCTTTAGTTATTCTGTCCTGGGGTAGCATTGTCAGCAGGACCAACCATGAAAATTTTCAGCCAAATAGCAGGGTAACTTAGAACACAGACTCGATTTTGCTTTCCATGATGGGACTTACATGCTCTCTCTCCTTTGCCTCCCTGCCTCTGTCCTTTCTGATTTTAACAGCACTCGCAAACAAAATTACATGATGAATTTTTCACGACAACATGGGCTCAGGCATTTCTACAACAGAAGACGGAGGTCACTTAGACGATACCCATGAAGAATCACAACTTTTATTTTTCCTTCCAACATGTGATGTGTTGCTTCCCATTCTTTTAAATCACGCACCGCATCTGGTATCAGGAAAATTCTGCGAAGGACTTGGTGACTAACTGAAAGCCCTTCTTACGACCGAGTGCACACCACTTTCCCACACTGTGAACTAATGACAAGTGACTTATTTTCTCATGAGTAAATGTCTTCATGTTGCTGTGTCCGTGAAAATTGTGATCTGTTGTAATATCAGTTACAGTGGCAGTATTGAAAATAAGAAATAGTTTAATGGAAAAAAAAGTTTAAGCACAAAAATTTAAGAGATTTTATGTTTAAAAATGGCATTTAGTACAGAATTTAACATTCTTGGTCACAAAGCTATTTAAGTGGACTGTATTTCAGCTCTGTATCATGTTTTATATGATTAAATTATCATTGTTCCTTTATGTGTTCTCTTCTACAGTATAACACATTGACACTATTTACTTGTTATGTTGCAATATTTTGCTGCTGAATTTCGGGCGACTTATATTCTGCAGAGAATTCATTGAGATACCTACTCAAGAAGATAGTTGTAAAGATATTGTATCTCCTTTAATATACTCCTTAAAATGTATGTTGGTTTAGCGTTGTTTTGTGGATAAGAAAAATGCCTGACCTTGAAATATTTTCTACTTAAAAATTGTGGATGAAAACCCTATCTCCCAAAGGTTCCCAGCTCCTTGTCTAAAGGTTCTTTTAAAGTGTTCTGTGGCTGATTTACTAACAGTAACTGCCATTTCGTGTCTGTGGTAACAGAGTGATTTGTAAAACAGTGGATGTTTTCATTGTGTTCTCTTTGTGGATTGTTTTTCCTGCGGCTCATTCGCATACCTTCTGATGAAGTTGTACCAACACCAGCAACATTATAATGGCCCCGTAGCCCTGAACTCTCTATTAACCTAAGTAAAAGGTTGTACTCTAGGGTGAGCCAAGCTAAAAGCCCATACTTAAATAAAAATTATGTCCATAAGCCATTTGAGGCTCATTTGTCTTTATTCATTGTTTAATTAAATTTTGTGTAGGATTTGTAAGCTGGATCAGTTTTGGAAAGAACAGTGTTAGATCTATATACTGGTGTTTTGTTTCGTCATTGTTAATAACAATTATGAAGCCACACTTTCAATTGAGCCATGTTTCTCTTATTCAGCTTTTTCTATTAATCACCCTAATTACACCAAGAAAAATCAATAGAGAATTCTGAAAATTATTGAATTCCTGAGAATTTTGTTAGCTGCTAACGTAATGCCTGACTCATAACAAGCACTCATGCATTCATTCAGCAAATGTTTGTTGATTGCTTGCTGTGTGACAGACACTGTGTTATGTGTTGACAAGAAAAGTGGCGATTGAGGCATTTCCCCTGCTTCTAATGTCTACACAATAAAAAGTATGTCAGTAGTGTTGAATGTGTTGATTTTCAGAGGGTTAAAAAAAAATCTGGGTAATAGAGTAATAGATGGCAGTAGTATTTCTCTTTGAACAGGGAAATGATAAAGGATGATCCCTCTGAGAAGTCTAGCTAAACTGTATTTTGAGCCTGGTATCAAATCCATTGTGAATCATTGCTTTGGAGATACAAGGCCTTCTTTTCTCAGCTTAATTTAACATATGATATATTTTATAATTAAGTGCGGTGTTTGACCCAAGAATTTGTGTAACTATTGTATCTTAATTGTTGATTCTCCTTTCTTGGTTCACAAATTGTCTGCTGCTGGTTCATCATTTGATGGCATATTTGGTTCATTTTCTCATTGGAAGAAGAGGTTTAATTTTTCCCAAAGCCTTGTCTTTCCAAGTCTTTTGTGTGTGCCATAGACCTACCTGGTAACTAGGGCAAGATATTTTATAGTGCTCCCATCCACCTGTCTTCCTACCATCAGAAGAGGGTTGAACTCCCTACCAGTCCATCTCCTCAAAGTTTTAATAGTATAAGTGGGGACTTACATGTATTGGCTTATTTATTTTGAAACATAGACCGTTAGAGTAGGACTTCAAGTATTGTTGGTTGAACTGACTTACCTTTCCAAATAAATAAAGGAAACAAAGTTTAGTAATAGCAGAGATTAAAAAATATTTGCATGGCCAATTTCCATGGTTTCTACACAGTTATCTCTTATTCACCATACATTTTAAGGTAAGTGGTACTCAATATCTGATCTTAAATATAGTCAATATCACATATATTTTACCCTTTATCTAAGAAAGAACATATGTATGTTACTTGGGAAATTCCCAAATTGAGATTGTCACTCTTATGTTTCAAGGTTTAAAAAAGTATAGAGGATCACTAAAATATGTACCCATTCATTTTAGTGTTTGTCAATTGAAATTTTTTGACAGCAATTTGTATTGCCTTTCTGTACTTTTATCTTTTTAACTTTCCCATACATGGCAATTGCCACTTTTAACACCAAATAATATACTTTTTTCCTAGCTAATTTTTATACAAAGATGTGTAGTATTTACTTGAGATGGGTATTTAGGATGCATTTCAAGTAAAATTTGTTTTTCATATATGTTAATTGGGCATATGGCATCTAGATATTTAGTGCATTTGTGTGCATTTATTTATGAAGGGTTTTTTGCATATGCTTAAAAGACTTGCATCTCACATTATATAAATATTACTCTATATTTTGCTTTAGCTCATTTATATTCCAACCATTTATTCTGGAATTTACTTTGTTATATGTTGGGAGGAATGACCCTAATTTTTTTCCAAATAGTTAATAAATTATCCCAGTACCAAAATAAATAAAAAACACCTATAGGGAAAAATGTTAAATCTAGAGGTTTCCACAATGGTAAATTCTCACAATACTTTTGACACCACTAACGCTGAGCCTAAATACACCTACAATGAATGAATTAATAATCTGTTGAAAGGAGATACACCCCTTGGAGGACAGTACCTTTTTAAATGCTTCAGTGTGACAGAAGGAACTTTTATTTTGGAAGATTCTTCATACCAGAGCCTACTTCAGTCTTTTTGTTTATGCATTCATATCAAATATATACTAAGGGATACCACATGCCAAGCACTGGGAAAGGCACCAGGGATGCACTGGTGAACAACAGGAGACACAGTCTTCCCTAAGGAAATTCACAGTTTAGTGGAAAAGGAAGATATTCACCAATAATCACACAAATAAACATAACTGTGGAAATGCCTCATGTAGCAATAAACATTCTTTTGGTAAGCATCTATTAAATATGTACTACCATTCTAAGATATATTTTGGGGGATACTACAATGAATGAACCATGGTTCCCTTCCTCAATTTGTAGTCTAATTGGAGCTCAGAAATACCAACAAATACAGTGAAAAAGATACTGCAGTAGAAGCATATTCTAGATCTCACGGGCACAGAAAAGAGAATAATCTGCTCTGTCTAGAAGGGATGAGAAGGGAAGGCTGAATAAAGGAAATCTTTACATAAGAAAGGCAAGGCTAGAGTAGTGCTTACCTAGTATTGGAAACTGTAGCCAATGCAATAAAACAGGAAGAAGAAATAAGAGGTATAAGATTTGGAAAAGAGATAAAGCTCTCCTTAGATGCAGTTGATAAACTTGTCTTCATAGAAAGCCCAAGGAACTCTAAAGATAAAAGCATGAAAATTAATAAGAGTTCAAGAAGCTGCTGGATACAAGATCCATATATAAAAATGGACAGCATTTCTAAACAAAATGTATAACCAAGTAGGAAAAAAATAAACAACCAGTGGAGATAAAAAAACAGGAAATAGACTAAATCCCAATACCCAAATAAAAGAATGATTAGGAAATTTTAAATGATATAAAGCCATGAAAGGACAAAGAAAATATAGGATGGAGACAAACAGATAAAAGATAACAAAATTTTGGAAAATGAAAAGTGAATGGACGAGTAGTAACTAATCATACTGTAAAAAGCTAAAACTCAACTGTCTACAGAGAAGGGATTTGCATCACAGAACACAGAAGATTCTCGAACTGCAGAGAAAACTGCCTCTGCAAGCAAGGAATAGGCAAGAGGATGAAAATAAGGGTATTGGTTAAAATTCCGAATAAGGAACAGACTTCTTTCATCCCACCACCAACAGGAAACTCTCCTTCCCATCTTGGCAAGGGACAGGAGGTTTATTTTTTTGGATGACTTGAATCAAGGGTGGTTGAAGAAGACCCAGAGATTTCAGGCAGCAAAGAGCTGGGATAAGTCTAGTAATTTCTTTTTAAGGTATTAAGCAAAAGCCTACCAGTTGAAGGGTGAGACCCCCCCTCCCTCACCACAGCACCCTTTCATCTTTCAACTCCCTGAATCCTGGAATTGAGCTTCTAGCATCCAGACAGAACACTGAAGGGTTCCTCTCTTGAAAAAAGACTGACGAACTGAAAGTTGAGGAATTCTGTCATGAACCAGCCAGATCACCTTGCTCACACAAATAACTTCCAATCAACTTTTTTTATTCATAGTAGTTTTGTTTGTCAGAAGTGGAGAAAGGAGGGACTAGCCAACAGGTGGTACTAAGACAATTCGTTTTTCAAGCGAAAAAAAAAATAGATCCCTAGACATATCATTACACAAAAATAAGCTCCAGGGAGATTAAAGACATAAATGGCAGAGGTAAAACTTTACAACTTTTAGAAGAAAATATCATTGTGGGATCATGGGAAGAAAGGATTTCCTAAACATGACATAAAGCAGACAAACCATAAGAAAAGATGATAGGATTAGTGGTCTGTAGTTTGATTGGATTCATTTGTCAAACTCTTGCATAACAGAAGAGACCACAAAGTTTAAAAACCAGCCACTGAAGGGGAGAAGATAAAGCCACAATATACATTCAAAAAAGGACTGGACTCTAGAAAATATAAAGAACTCATGCAAATAGATAATAGAAGGTAATGACATAATTTTGGGGGGCGCCTGACTGACTCAGTTGGTGGAGCATGTGACTCTTGATCTCAGGGTTGTGAGTTCGAGCCCCACGCTGGGTGTAGAGATTACTTTAAAAAATAATAAAATCTTTAAAAAAGAAGAAGAAAGTAATAACATAATTTTCTTTAAATCACAAAGAATAGGAATGAAAATTCACTGAAGGAAAAACTGAAATGACAAAAGATTAAAATGTTCAATCTCACCAATGAACACGGAAACATCATTTGAAACAACAATGATGTCATACCTAACCAGGGAGGCAAAATCAGAATCCGAACATAGTGGTGCTGAAAAGAGGATCTTGGGTAAGTTCGAGCCCCATATTGGGTGTAGAGATTATTTTAAAAAAATAAAATCTTAAAAAAAATACAGAAAAAAATATAGCTAATACAAATCTCTGTGGAGAGCAGTGTAGTATCAGTAACATTGAATATGTTACAGTATCCATAAGTTTGAATATGTACAAACAGCATGACCCAGCTACTTCTGGGTATTTATCACAGAGAAACTCACAAGTATACACAGAGAGATGTGTGCAAGAATGTTCACAGCTGCATTGCTTGTAATTGCAAATAACCAGAAACAATCCAAGTGTCCATCAACAAGAAAATGGATAGATTGTGGTTTATTTGTATAATACTCTATGATGTTAAAATGAACACGCCCATTAACAATAAAACAAGTTGCAAAATTATATAGCATGATGCCGTTTATCGGATTTTTAAACTTTGCAAACAAATACAGTCGACCCTTGAACAACATGGGTTTGAACTTAGTGGGTCCACTTATGTATAGATTTTTTTGGATAAATACAGTACAGTACTGTACTCTTCCTTGTGATTATCTTCATAACATGTTCTTTTCTCTGGCTTACTTTATTCTAAGAATACAGTATATAAGATATAAAACATACAAACTATGTGCTAATCAATTGTTTATGTGATGGGTAAGGCATCCGGTCAGCAGTAGGCTATTAGTGGTTAAGTTTTGGGGGAGCCAAAAGTTATACTCAGATTTTCAACTCCAGTGGGGTCGGCGGCCCTCACCCCGAT